TACAGCACTTCGCAAGGATTTGTAGATGAGATGAGACGAGAGTATTATGATTTTAAGTCAGAGTAGTCGGTGATGACATCTTGCATATTATGTACTGAATAGCTGCAGTAGTGTATTTACGGTGATCCCGAGGCCCAGGTTCTCGGGTTTCCCGAATGATCTTTGAATGGAATTGGCTTTCGATACCCCACCAACAAATATTATAGAACAGAACGCTCATTTTCTACACATATTATATGATCTGGTCAAAAATATATAAGGTGCAGAATTAAAGATCCAAATATAATGTAATCAATCCCCGCTCCTCGAGAATCGTCGCGATACCAAAAACGGCATCACGTGGAACCTGCCGGCCGCAACTCGAGTATCCGTTTCTAGAAACCCCAAGACCGAGAACAAAGGATCCCTTCAGGAAAAAATAAAAAAGAAAACACAATTTGCTTCAAAAGTCACAACAGCAAAGACAAAGCACAACAAAAACATTGGAATGTTTCAATGCAGCGAAGGGATTTTCATGCGAGAGTCAGAGGTTCAATTGGGGACAAAGAGCAGATCAGTGGGAAGAAAGAGAGGAGGGGAGAGAGAAAGAGAAAGAGAAGGGGGAAAAAGAAAGGAAAAGAAGAGGGTTATAAAGACGTACGAGACTGCGAGACTGTGAGATGCCATTGGAAACTGGAACTCCTGCACACAACATACGCATATGCTTGTTTCTTTTGCTGTACTGTACGCTGAGGACACGGCGGCAAGATTTTGGTACGATTCGATCGATATATATATCTTACGTGGAAAATTTGCTGGAATTTTATATTTATATATATTTTGTATTTGTTTTGTTTTCAATTTATTTTGTGGTGTGCTGATTTGTGTTGATTTGTTTTATCGAGGGATCGATAGTGGGAACTGGAATTGGAATTGAATGTGCATCTAGAAGTGGCTCTTTCTAGATTTTCGTGTTGAACGAAGGTTTTATATAAATTCTAAGGTTTTCAAGGGAAAGAAAGAAGGTATACAGAATAGTGGAAAAGATGGTTGATGATACACAAAGTGAGGATGGCAAGGGAAAGGGCAATTCTTTACAGGTTATTGTTTTGGTGAGTGAGCTTCTTTTGCTTTTGCTTTTCTTGAATGTTCATTATTATGTATTATGTTTCATGCGATATTCAAGTCTTTTGCTGCTTGCCGTCTGCCTTTATTTCTTTGGTTTTGTGTCTGTGAAGTGGGAATGTTCACGGAGAGATTGTCAAGTGCGTATGAGGGGTCGTACGTCATTATATACAGTCAGTTGGTGCTTCGTGTGGAGTTCTCTTTGCGTTTGATTTATGAAATGGATGACGCCGGTTAAATAGCTTTGTTTGGATGCTTGTGCTTGCTCATGTCTGGGTATTTTGCGCTTGGAGAAATCTGGGGAATGTCACGTGTGGATGGAAATGATGTCTTCGTGAATGCGAGGAGGATAAATGTTTATTTTGATTTTTTGAACTGGGGAAATCTGGCGATTTGATGCAAAATATTGTTTGTGTTGGTCGAGGAAATCGCATTCACTATCAATAATGCACTTTAAAGTCGTTTCACTCATATTGTTGATATGAAGCATCAGCGAAAAAATTTCTAACAACTGATTCGATAGGGAGCCGGTGGTGGACCTTTGGAAGACAACTGTACCGCGTTCTTGGTACGATCAATAGCACAAGGATGGACTAGAGGTTCTGTCCTCGCTGTAGATGCCGGAGTACATCTTTCATCCATCCAAACTCTTCTCCAACAATATCAACCATTACCACCCGAAAGACCACACGTACTCCAAGATGGACTTTTAGCAGGATTAGAACTCCCTTATCAATCCGCCGGCGCAAATACTGCTCACATAGCACGTAACTTAATCGGAGCCCATCTCATCACCCATCCACACATTGATCATATCGCGGGTGGGGTGGTCAGCACCGCAAGTCCTAGTTCTAAGCCGAGGAGAATTGCGGGGTTGGCTAGTACGATTGAGGCGTTGAAAGATCATATTTTTAACGATATCATCTGGCCGAATTTGACGGATGAGAATGGTGGTGTGGGATTGGTGACTTTTATGAGGTTGATGTCAGGGGGTTCGTCACTTTTGGGTGATGGAGTAACGAAGGGGTATATGGAGGTTGTGGAGGGACTTGGTGTGAAGTCTTGGGCTGTTAGTCATGGAATTTGTTCTAAGCCATTTCCTTGTATGTATTTCCCTGTTATATATATGTTTCTATCTTGGAGTCGGAATTGGATCTCGGCTTTCTCGAAGCAGATATCTATCTGGAACACTCCCCCCTCTCTCCTTTCATGTGCATCGTACTAACAAGCCTCTCAACTCCTAGATCAAGCATTAAATAACCCCGCAAATGATACCGACCTCCCCCGACCTCCACCCAGAACACTCGACCACATCCCCGCACCTCTCATCGCAGACGCTATCGACAGTGTAAACAAAAGCCTAGGCATGTCCTTCACGGCCCCAACCACCGACCCCTTCCGCGTCTACACCAGCTCCGCATTCTTCATCCACGACGTAGCCAGCAGCCACGAAATCCTCATCTGGGGGGACGTAGAACCGGATTCCCTCTCGGCCTCTCCACGCAACGCCCAAGTCTGGCAAGACGCCGCGCCCAAGGTCGTCGCCGGAAACCTCAAAGGTATCTTCATCGAATGTTCCTACGACGACAGTCGCAGCCCAGAAATGTTATTCGGACACCTAACCCCACGCTACCTGATCGAAGAACTCAAAGTCCTCGCCGCCGAAGTTGAAAAATTCCGCGGCGGAGTCTCGCCCCGTCGACGCCCGCGCGACCGCTTTATCACCGAAGGTCAAGTTGCCGGCTCCGGCGCAAGTAGTCGCTTGGAATATCTCCGGAAATCGATCGCCATGCGCGAGAAAGATAGGATTCAGGGTATGCGACCATCGTTGGCGACGGCGCCGAATTTCTTCTATTCCCATCGGAAGGGCTCGCTTGTGGGTCCGCTCGATGGCGTCAAGGTGGTTATTATTCATGTCAAGGATACGTTAGATGATAGGGAGGATGTGAGGGAGGTTATTTTGAGGGAGTTGGGGAATCATGAGGAGAAGCTTAACTTGGGGTGTGAGTTTGTGGTTAGTGAGAAGGGGATGAGTGTTTGTTTGTAATTTGTTTGTTTTTTTTTGTTTTTAGTTTTGGGTTTGGTTTTGGTGATTGCGGTTCTTGTTTAGGAGGGTGGATGGATGGTAGGGGGTTTCTCTTCATTTTTTTCTGTGTGAGGGGGCGTTTCTTTGATTGTGTGGAGGTATACTACGTAGGTATAGGTATAGGTATGGGTATAATTTATATTATTTGGGAGGAGGGATTACGGGATTTGTATCTTGGTGGAAAGCTCTCATTAGAGGATATATAACACAGGAGGGCGGCTGGCTGGCTATATTTGGCAAAAGTCTCACGACATGGTATATAGGTAGATGTTGGTGTGTGAGGTAACAGGCTTGCAATGGGTTAGTTTATGTATTTGCAACGTGGTATTATATATAGTAGTAGCTCTGATATATATCTACAATCTTTTCTATCTCGTCTGGAATTCTAAACCATCTAATACCCCATGACTTTCTCAACAGCAATGTATCACCACTTCATTGATTCTCAAGCTTAGCCTTAACCAACTTCTTCGCCTCCTCATCCTTCTCAACCACAGTCTCATAATCCGGTCTGGGAAGCTCTATTCCCTCCGTTGTCCTCCCATAAGTAATACCTCCCAATCTGGAAATTGGTTTCAAGACCGCAGGATCCACAATATTCTTCTCCTCATTAATAGCATTTTCCCTAACCCAAAATCTCGTCCCCTCAATAACCGCCAAAACCCCCGTCTTTTTCCCAGGCGTCGCCTTACTCTCAAATTCCTTCAAACTTTCCAACTTTCCCTCGACACTAAAATGTGCCTCTTGAACTCTACTCGCCTTAACCGTCGTACACGACGCAGGAGTTAAACCACTAAAAGCCCACTCCGACTCTCCATACGGCGCATTAATACTCGTTGCATTGGCTGCCTCTAGAAAATGCTCCGAGATAATATTAATAGTACATTCACGCGTCTCCTTCAAATTCCTCAACGAATCCTTCGCATTATCCAAACCGCCTGCATATCCCAGCACAAAAAGTGGCGGATCGTGATTAATCATATTGAAGTAAGAAAACGGAGCCAAGTTCGTAGAAGTTCCGTCCGCGCTGCGCGTACTCACGAAACCGATCGGACGCGGGATGATCGAGGAGATAAGGAGCTTGTAGTTGTAGACTGCGGGTCGTCCTTCTTCATAAGGATCGATTTCGATGTGGGGGATTTTTAATGAGGTGCCGTGGTCGTTGGCGCCAGAGCCGAGTTTCCATGACGGTGATACCGTTTGGGTGACGGTCCAGGATTTGCTGTCGTCCCAGGGTGAGCGGCTGGCTTCGACGAATTTGAAATCGCGGTGTGGATTGCGGTTTATGAGTTTTTCGGCGTCGGCGCGTTGTTGGCTTGTGGAGGACATGGTGGGTGAAGTGTGGAGTTTGGAGATGGGGTTTGTATTTGTGTTTGTGGTTGGGGAATAGAGGAACTGTGGGAGGGTATCGGTGAGGTTTGTTTGTAGTGAGGGGCTAATGATATATGAATTAGTAAATAAACTATTTGGCGGGGTAAGTGAGTTTATAGGTAGCTAGCTATCTTACGCACCGAATTGAAGTCTGGAATAATCCCACTTGTCTAAGTCTTAAACTTCTAATTGACAGTGACATAGATGTAGATTTTCGAGACGGGGTACAATATATATATTTACAACACAGACATGAAAAAATTCCCGCTATGAATTCGCAATCCCGATGGTAGTGTAGTACCATAGGTAGAATATTCCCGAGTCTTTAAAGTACTGACGTTGCTGTTGCGCCACTAAATTTCGTCACAGCGGATTTGATTCCGTTATAGGAAGCCGTGAAGACAGGGATTGGCTCACTGATCATTGGATTTTATGCGATAAGACGCTGGTGGATTAACCCCGCGGTGATAAGGAGGGGAAGCTCGGAAGCTCATCTACGGGAAAAAGAATATGATAGCTGGTTAGAAGCGGGTGAGTGTTTTGTAAACTTGAGTATTAGATTGGGGATTGGGTAATAGGTTAATAACTACATTATTATACAATTAACAAAAGAAGTTATTTTTGAAGCTATTCAGAAAACTGCAGCGTATCCCCAGGGGTTGAAGTCCATAGTAAGTAAGTAACCTTAGATTGGTCATGATAATTCACTTTGTGACAAATTGAGATAAGCTCAAGATTGGTGGATTGGCTTAAGGATATACTATTATATCTCTACTAGGTACCTACCTGATATATATTTCTATCAACAGACAAACACATCCAACTTGGAAGTTGAAGTAACGAAACACCAAGAAAGGATTTGCAGAGTATTCAACAACAACACCACAACCATCACGAAAATGGATTCCCTCCCCTCTCAAACCTCCTCTCTAAACCTAGCACCAGGTGTTCAAAGATACTCTCTCGGAAATTGGAAACTTCAATCTGGACAGGAGATTCCAGATGCACATATTGCATATAAAACATTTGGAGATCCAGGTTCGCCTGCTATTATCTATCCATCTTGGTTTTCCGGAGGTGAGTTTCTTTCAACCTTTGACTTCCTGCTATTGTTCATCTAAATTTGGCATTATATATCTATATGAGAGTATTATGGCTGTATAAAAGTCATGTTTGAAAATGAACAATTATTAATATTCGATATTATATTATATTATATTGATCTAGGGCCATTAATACTAACGACATCAACCAACAACAGCAATCGCCGACAACGAATGGCTCATTGGAGAAACTCAAGCATTAAACCCCCGGAAATACTTCATAATCATCACTGCACTTTTCGGAAATGGAGAGTCGTCTGTACGTCCCATGCTCCTCCTCATCTTCCCACGTCCAACCCATAGGTCTCCCAATCCAAAAACATATACACTAACCAATTCTTTTATATAAAAAAACAGTCACCATCCAACACCCCCCTGTCCCTCTCCCCCTTCCCCAAAGTAACCTTCTACGACAACGTCCGCGCACAACACAAACTCCTAACCATCCATCTCCAAATCACCCACGCGCGCGCCGTAATCGGTTGGTCTATGGGCGCAGCCCAAACTTACCAATGGGCTACTATGTATCCATCATTTATGGATATATGTATACCATTCTGTGGATCGGCGAAAACGGCTTTGCATAATCAGGTATTTTTGGAAGGGGTGAAATCCGCACTGTTGGCTGGGAAGGGGATGATGAGTGCGGGGTCTAGTGAGGGGGTTGTTGTGAAGGGGAGGAAAGAGAAAGTGAGGGTTTGGAGTGAGGAGGAGAGGGAGGTCGGGTTGAAGGCTTTTGGGAGGGGGTATGCGGGGTGGGGGTTTAGTCAGGTGAGTTGAGTTGAGTTGAGGTTGGTGGTGGAGGTGGTGGAGTTGTATTTTGTGGGAGTATGGATGCTAATATTATGCAGGCGTTTTATAGAGAAGAACTATTCAAAACTGTTCTCGGGTATAAAGATCTTGAAGATTTCATGAAGAATTTCTGGGAGAAATGGGCTCTTTCGAAAGGTACTTCCCTTCACCTTCCTCATCTCTCATCTTCCTCTCTCTCATCTTTTCTTCCCTCCCTCCCTCCTTCATCCCCATCATACCTCCCATCATCATATTCCACCCTCTAACCCCTCCTCCACATCTCCCCCATTCCCATTCCCAACCCCCCTAACCCTCTCACTCCAACCAAAATACTAACACCCACCCCCCCACCCCCAGACCCCGAAAACCTCCCTCACAATGCTGCACACCTGGTCCCTCCCGGCGACGTCTCCAACCAAACCCCCATACAACGGAGATTTCTCTGCCGCAATGAACACTATAGAAGCAAAAATGCTTGTTCTCCCGTGCAAAACAGATTTATATTTTCCGTAAGTATTTTCCCTCTCTCCCTTCTCCTCCATACCACTCATCTCCCCAACCCTAACTCCCTCCATCCCCCCATACTCATAACCCCCTTCTCACATCCAACCACCTCACTAATCCCAAAATACAGACCCGAAGACTCACAAATCGAAGTCTCTCTCATGCGTCCTGGAATCGGTACGCTCGAGATCATCCCTAGTATATGGGGGCATTGGGCTGGGGGACCGGGTGATTCGAAAGAGGATGTGAAGTGGCTTAATGAGAGGTTGGTTGCGGTTGGTCTTTAGGAGGTTGTTTTGGTGGGAGACGGGGGTGGGGGTGGGGTTGGGAGGGGGATTAATTATTCTTGAACCCTGAGGGGTACTCCGTAAGTAAGCGAGTAGAATATAATTGAGCGATGTGATGCAATACAATGGATTTTCGCATGGTAAGATTTACGATTATTGAAATACGAATGGAATGGAATGAATGTGAATATTGTGATGACAAAGAAAGTTATCAATCATATTAAATATCGTTGGTATTTAAATGCTCATTGCTGAATGATTGTTGTATGTTATGTAAGATCATATGTACCTATGTAACCTTATATGTATATATATATTGAAAATAAATAAAATAAAAAGATAAATAAGTATAAGTATATATATATATATATATATATATATATATATATATAAGATTTCACCGCTAGAAATATTTATTGTTAATGTGTGTACCGACCAAACCTCCTAAACTCTGACTTCCCAATTCCCAATTTCAAATTCCAAATTCCAAGTAACCAGCGCCAGATATCTACCCATTCATCCATTCATCCAAACAGATACAGATACAGATACGGTATATCAGCATCATCACCTATATATCCCGAACTCACAGCTCAAACCTCCCCATTCCATTTCCCCGTTGGAGTTTCACTTCTACCCACCACCGGCATAACAACCGGCCTTTCATTCTCCGCATTAATACCAACACCCTCACCAACACCAGCACCAGCACCAGCCCCGGCCCCAGTACCAACTCCAGCGCCAGCGACCTTACCACCAACACCCATAGCACTCTTCGCTCCCCCGCTAATGCCACTCCTCTGACTCCCACTCCCACTCGCACTCCCCATACTACTTCCCCTAACCCTTCCCTTCGGACTCAATCCCCCACTCAACTCCTCCCTCACCTCCCTCAACATTTCCTCACCTGGGACCCCTAGTCTCCCCAATCTCCCTACCAAGAGTGTATTTTCCCTCTGTACACTACCCACCTGATCCCTCAAAACCTGTTTCTCCCTCTTTAGCACCTCAATCTCCGCTCTCAAATTAGCATTCACCTGTTGCAAATCCTCTCCTTTTTCCTTTCCTTCCCTCTTCCTCTTTCTCTCCTCTTGTTTCTGCCCCTCTCTTATCCTTTTCTTTTCCAACTTTTCCATTTCCTTTCTATATTTTTCTTCTCTTTTCCTTACTTCTCTCTCATATTTTTCCTCTGCTTTTCGAATGGCTTCTTTTTCTTTCTCTCCATCTTCACTCTTTTTATCCGCTTCTCTTTGTTTTGCTCTCTCTAACTTCTCTTGGAGTTTTCGTTTTTTGTCTTCTAATTTCTGTAGCTCTTTATCTTGTTGCAGATTTACTTTTTGAACACCTGCCGAATCTTGTGATGATATTTTTCGGAATGAAAGAGCTGATTCAAAACTATTCACAGTGGACTCGCTGGTGATGGATGCATCGGATACTGATCGAGACCGAGGAATAGGGGGGGAAAATTGAGTCGGAACGGGTTCACTGGCAAGAGGTAAAGGTTCATTTTCTTTAGTTGAGGGAGCTTCGTTAGCATGCGGTAGACGATCCGCAATGATTGCTGGTGCATATGGAGCGATTAAAGCTCCAGCAGAAGTTGCTACTCCTGCCACCAAGTCATATATTCCACCACCACTTGCTGCGGGTACTTGCTGTTGCGTCTGAGTTGCAGGCTTCGCTGGACCAACCGGCCCAGGAGGTGATATCTCTGCTTGACTATCTATACCTGCAAGATGTCCATTTGTTTGATAGTTATGTAAGTCTTTTTCGTGGTCATGTTGACGATGATGGCGATGATGATGTTCACGTTCAGTATTTTCATCTTCTTTCTCGACAGGTTCCTCATCATCACTATCCAATTCCTCAATTGTCTTCGAGCATGCCCAATCCAGGAATTTGCCCGCATCAGAAACGATAGCTGATGGAGTTCCACGGTCAATCATAAATCGTGGTACACTCCCACCAGGATCACTCCTTGTAATCATGATCCACTCAACAGGATTTTGTTCCCATTCATCATCCTCACTTGGAACAGCAGTTTTCTCGTGTTTGCCGACAAGAGCTAGGTTACTATCAGAACGCGAAGCCTGCCTTTCAATGTCTTCTTCTCCTCCCTCTGTAGTAGGCTGATCATGCTTCTGATGCGCATTTCTCAAAACAGCCTCTCTTCCTAAATTAGAACCGGATCTATCTCTTGAATGTCCCTTTGTGAGATCTGATGCTGATACTGATCTCTTCGGAGGCGCTTTCTTAGTTGGGATTTCTCGAATAAATTCAACTGATTCATAATTTCCTCTTATATATCCTTCACGTTGTGGAGCATCTGGATGTTGACATGGTTTCGATATTACCATAAAATGGCGGGGTATTTCGTGATTATTTTGTCCCCTCAATGCTTGATCTGAAGAGATAAGCATTGTTACGAAATCTCTCGGGGAAGTTGGACCTGGAAACTGCGCAGATAGCAGATACACTAATATGCATTAGAATTTCTCTCTTTATCCCAATTTGATAAAAGCATACCTTCCATTTTCCCCGTCCCAGGCATATTGTTATACGCCACCCTCTTCTCTCCACCAATACCTCTAATATTACCCTCACCCGGACCACCCTGAACCTTCAGCGTCTCCGGAAATTCCCTCTCTAAACCTCTCTTCCATTTTGTAAATCCCAATCCCTCATGTACACTCCTCCTCGCGAACCAAGTTCCCTTTCCATCCCTTCCCTTGCAAGAATATACACTTATACCCAATGGATTATCAGCCGGCTTCAGTTTCACTTGTTTCCATTCCTTCTGCAGACATTCGATATCGTGAGGCGGAGGTGGAGATCGGGCATGCGATGCTAAGATTTCGGATGCAGATGAGGCTATTGAAGGTGTTGTATTTGATCGCGGTCGGGTGCTGGAAGGTTCGGCAGAGTCGGGTATGGGGATTGAATCAACTATTATTTGACCACTATTGAAAGCATCTAATAGAAATGGCTTTAGGTTGTCAGTGGGAGTTTCGTCGTAGTCTATGGCGCCTAGTGCTTTGAGTGCATCGTGAAGAGCTGCCATTTCGTTTGCTAGTTCGGATTTCTCTTGTTCAATAAAGTGTGGGATTTCTTGGTGAATCTAATGCGAGGCCGTAACGAAGGCCGTCGAGATGCGGGCTAGATATTTTCCAAGGAGTTAAAACTAGAGCTCTTTTGATCGTCGTCTTGAAGTTTTGAGAGGCAATATGGCGAACTAGATGCTTGGTCTTTGATTAGTTATCGTGAATAGAGTAGGAATGTAATGTATTATGCATTAAGCTCAGTAAATCGCAAAGGTAGCATGCAGGAACAATCTGTGTTTCAAACAGAGTGATGGCATTCAACAAAGGGTATGAATTTGATAAGAGAGTAAGTACTTGGATGTATGTACAGCTACCCCTTTAAGCTAGTGTGGATAAGTATGGAATATGTATAATACAAATAGAACATCAATCAATACATCATTCTTACACACGACCAATATTCAGTGGTAAATAAATCAGAAAAAGGCATTGAAACTGGAAATACCCATTAAGCTATTGCGGGGTTACACTCAGACCGGACAATATGATTGGTCTAGCTTTAACTTTTTGAGTGGAAACTAGATTTCCAGAACGATCGACGTCATCTCTTAGCCACAGACACTAGCACGCGCACCGAACTCAAAGTCTTCGCATGGGAATTCCAAAGATGGAAACAAATGCATGACTTTTCCATGGAAAAGTGGGGTGCATTGTAATGAATATTAGATACTGCTAGTCAAGTGATTAAATTTTACTTGTCCATTATTTACCTTTGAGATTCTTGTTTTGTCTACAAAAATGTTAGAGAATGTTCAACCCGTACCACACAGCTCATCAGACATATTTTACCATTTGGAACCCCTTTTTGTATGATTTTATTTAATTAAGAATCTTGAAGCTAGTCGGAACTAGAGGCAGTCTGTAAAATTTCAGCCCTTATATAGCTAAATCCGAATCCGAATACGAATGGGAATGCGATCCCATATCCGAGTCCGAGTCCGAACTCATATCTGGGACTCTAAGCTAATACCATGTTCAAAAATTCTGAGTTTTTTTAATCTTATTTATTATAAAGTTGTGAAAACAAAATTAAAGAAAAACTTTGTTGTTATTATAATAATATAACATTTATTATATATTTAAGTCTATTGTTGAAATTAAGGTCATTATGGGCCTAGAATTGAGGTCATATGACCATTATGGTGCACGGACCATAATTGGGAATATCTTCAATTCTACCATTACTGTAACTTAGATCCTTAGTTTAACCTACATCTAATAATACTACTACTTCCAAACAACTCAGTTTGAACATCTATTAGATTTAAAAATATAAATTCTTTATTCTTTATATAAAATTATAATAATTGTTAAAAGGAATGACCTTACACAGGGAATAGTGAGAAGCTGATAGGGCAGAACTGAGGCTATATGTTACGTGACGGTTGTTACCCACTAGTGGCTCACATGCACTAGCCCTGTATATAAAGACCTTCTTACTTAGAATCTTCTTAGTTCTTTAGTTTTAGATTCTAAGTAATTGAATTGACTCCGTTTACGACTTTTCCGTCACACTATATTGGTGTTACGACGGCTTCTGGCCTCGTATCATATGACCACGTACGAAGGGATCGAAGGGACCGAAGGAACGATAGGCATGAAGGTCTATATAATCAAGATGGATTTCCTTTGTATAGAGCTTCGTGCTCAAGATCAATCATTTAGTATACTCTACTATTAGTTACGAGTTGCATATCATTATTGTCATTACTTAAGTCCTTGCTTGACGCCTAGTTATAAACCACCTCGAGAGTCTAGAGCACTTCCACGTGATCTAGACGGCAAACCTCGTAACATCATACACCCTTTAAGTTCGATCTACTTTCCAATACTGTGAGAGGTCTAAGAATAACGGATAATCATCTACTCAAATAGAACCTCGGACGGTTTTGGAATTATATATTCTCGAGTACTATGAATATAGTCGATGCATCACCGTAGATATAGAAGTTAAATCAACTCAAGTCAGGTCATGTCAAGTCAAACATGTTATCCTCATATTGCCAGTCGATCAACAATCAAAAAGACTACAAGCAAACCAAGTCATCAGAATCCTTTTGTCAAGCATCTCTCTCTTTTCATTGGGTAGATGTTATGCTCAGACAAGCTTCAGCGTCGTTGATCCCATCTGATAATGCACCCATCCTAAGATGCATATCACCGACCAAAAGCTCTCAGATAAATTAGCTCGTTGACATAGAGCTAGGGCAAATTTTAAGTAAACTTTGTCCTTGAAAAAGAATCCTCGTTCATGAAGATAGCTGCCAATGGAAACGGATTAGCATTTATGTATCCGTTAACTGTTCAGTAACGCTTACACTGCTGCATCGTTCAAGAGTATAAGGAACCTTGGGTCGACCTCATACCGCTCCCACAAACTGGAGTCCTCAGTATAGAGCTGATAAATCCTTCTAAATGCGGTAGTATGTCCCGACAAAGCTCTCAACTCTTATGTGCCTGGCTGGAAAGGTTACCTGGTGGCAAGATGGCAGCAAGAACAGAAACAGCGTCTTTAAACGCTTCGTAGCGCTCGCTATCATCCATCCAGGCTTGGACTTGAATTTCTACTTGAATTACCCGTTGATTCTATAGCCCCCTCTTGTGAATATTGCGTTTGGTGATAAATCGGGCGAGAAGGTGATGGAACCGGGTATTTTCAAAAGTAGAATCAGTCCAGAAAGAACTAACGGGTTTAATAGAATGAAGATGAGAATTTGTGATGTAGTACTGGCCACTACGTCTTCGAATTCCCCTTGCTTTCTGACTTAATCTTAAACACCAAATATGCGTATTTTACAAAGAGCTTGCACACATGACGGAGAAAGATGCGCGACTCAACTCTATATAGGTCTGTTGCTTATAAGAACTTGTTGTCCAAATTCGTTACTAATGTCATTATTCTCAACGACAATATTTATGAGTGAAGATGAAGTTGAGATCACTGCTGTACTCTATACACCTTGATAGAAAATGATAGGGTTAAATGGCCGTCCATTTTCTTATATAAAGCTGGCAAGCGCAGAATATCCTGGGAGTTAATAAAAATAACATCCTATTAGTATTGGTGTGTTTAACCAAGCCAAATCAGACAAGAATCAAGATATAAAAGGTATTTAGAATATACTACATGTTTATGAGTTTCATCTATGTAACGCGAGTCCTTCAATATACAGTCAACCAACCGCTGGCCAATGCAAGAAACAATTCTGTCCATCCAGCAAAATCCAATAATGTTGTACCCAACGCCTCGCTCAATAGATATGCTGCCGGTAATCGAATTAATGATGCTCAAAGTTTTTGCAGTGTATACATATTTACTGCCGTTAACCAAATTTTTCATTTTCCCCTCCACGTGTGAGTAAATCTTGCTCTGCTTTACAGCTGCCGCAATACTCTTGATGCCATTCCCTAAGTTCGTTCATATTATCCTCCCCCTGGAGAACTTTTTGGCTTGGAAGCCCCTTAATTTTACTAATTGGCAGGGTATTTGCTCGATTGTCTCGCAACATCATTTGAGCTTGTTTGCACCTCATGTTTTCATCCAGAAGCCAATTCTCCCATTCCGCTTCTAGCACGTTTCTCTCGATATTGTTGACCACTCTCATAGCGATCAATAGGTCATATCGGTATGAACCCAGGTTCTGACGGGTTCTCCGAAGTCTCTTAGCTGTCGATTGTGTTGACGTCCTGCTGAATGGTGTCCCTGCCATTGCATAAGGAGCGTCAAGATCTGTAACATTTGCAATTTCCATGAATTGTGTGTAGCTATTGAAAGGTATTAGTCTATATTAATAGTTTTGTGGTAACAATACATACCATTTGCTCTGGTGACGATTATGAAATGTCGATAGATTGTTCACAGCTTCGTCGAGATCCTTCATGTAAATCGCTTTGCTCATGCTTGGATTTGGCCCAACTCCCATCCTATTCATGAACCTTGCTGCATTTCGTTCTGTCCACCATTCTGATGTATCACGGCCAGTAAGGAATGCATTTATCAAAATACTCAAAAACAATGCGATCAAGAGAATAGTGTGTGCGCTTGAGATTTTCCATATAGATCGGAACACCGCAAAAGTCCACATCATTACTGAAGATATAACACTTTCACCAAACGAGCTTAGTGTCTCAAGTAACATGTTTGTGAGTGTACGTTGCTTGATTTGTGGTCTTTTTGACTGGCTTGCGTCGTTGGCCGCGAAAAGTGAGACCGTTGTCTGATGGCCCACATGCCCGTAAATATGAATAGCTTTCTTCGTCCTACTGTTAGGCCCCAACTTTCGAACTTGATCAGCTATAACATCGACTAAATCCTCAGCATCCATTGCACAGTCGTCTAAAGCCTGTCTTTCAACAAGACCTTTGCCAATTTTGGGAGACTTGGACCATTCAACTTTTGTAAAGATCGCCAGCTTGCACTTTGATTTGGCGATATGAGTAATAACAATTTTGGAGACCAGCATAAAATCTTGGAAATGTGGTAGATGCCAAGGGGTCTTGAAATCCGTAACAACATAACATACATGATCGTTCATGACGTCGATAACCTGATAATCGACAACATTTGCTTGTCGTGATCTTCGCCAGGAATCAATGTAGTCAGTCTGAAACTCAAAGTCCCGACGCATGTGATTTCCGTCGAGATGAATCCAAGGGCCCTGAGCAATGTTTGTCGCTCTTCGTTCATGGTAAAGTAGTTGAAATACTGCGCTTTTGTCGCCGAACATGAGGTGGAAGAGTGCCTTCGGACTAATGCCAAATTCTCGCTCGACTGTCTTTCGTTGCATGTCGGGTGGTTCATAAATAACAGGTTGAGAAGGGAGCTGGAACTTTTGCACATCCTTCCCTTTTCTATTGAAATTCAGTGTACGTTCAACATGCAACGAAGCCCTAAGGTCACGATCTCTACGACTATGGGAATGACCCAGAGTTGTTCCATCATCGGCTGGTGTATTAACATCAACGTCTTCCCAACTTTCCATGCTAGGACTTCTAGTAGGGTCTTCGTGCTCCATTTTGATTAATGCTGTCATGATATCTTCCAAGCTCATTGGATTCTCAGCTTGGTTTATATCAACCAAGAAATTTAACCTCGATTGTAGCAATCGAAGTGGTTCTAGGAATGTTTTGATGGTGATCCTAGTAAATCCTGTATCCAGTGAAGTATCGAGGAGATGAAGAAATAAGAAGTCACAATCTCTGCCCGGAGCCGCTGTAACCTCACTAATACTAGCTAACTTAACACCAGTTATCAAAACAAGTCCTAAATGATGGCTATAGAAGTATATGTCTTTTTGAGTGACGTAAACTCTTCCAGGAAAATCATGCTGTTCATTTGGATTCCAAGTCGCACGGAAGACAAGTATGACTTTGTCTTCCCGCGGAACATCCTGAAATAAGATTCTGAATTGTGCATCTTGGGTCTTCAGCTGTATTGGGTAGTTGCTGGGATATGCTTCTGGTTTGAAAGCAGATTGACTCGCTGCACGCGCAACTTCAATATCGATACTAGCACTGGCGGATTTTCGGTGGGTCGCGGTCGAGGGAACTGGTGTTGATAAAGAATCAGTTGATGGACTAATGGGGCTTTTTGCAGACCCATGTCCATCGGGTTTCAAATTCTCGTCCGTACCTATCTTAGGAGATGGTTCTAACGGCTTTATGCGTGGACTTCCAGGTGCAGAGCGAATTCCAAAACTTGGAATTCTAACCTCTCCTTTCTCAAGACGATTAATATATCCCCAGTTGCTACTGCCCCATAAATTGGCCATGATACCACTGGAAATTCCTCCGCTGGCATCGCTCTGACTGACACCGATTCCTCGCTCTCCGCTAACAATTACTGCCGATTTGCTCAAATTTGTAGGAGCGGGTGGGTTTATGAGTGTCGACGGTGCTAAAGTACTTGCAGTATAATCTTGAGTTGGTGATTGCAGTGTAATTTGTGGATTGGGAAGAGTATTAGCGGTGGTCGTTGTATTTGAAGCCGTAGAAACCGGAAGAATCGCATGACTTGATGATATCAAGCCGGCGATACCACCTGCAGCGGATTGTGGTGCACTTGGAGGTTCACTTGACTGCATGCTTGTCGACTTTCTATGCAAATCCAGTTTTTGCATGATTCTGGCAGCATGCTCTCGACTAGTCTCGCCCTCTTCTCTCGAAGTGACGGAACGACGGGCAGGGACGATATCAGAACTATTCCTTCCTACAAACTCTATGCCAGGCAGAGGTAACGTACCGGACCTTTCAGGCGGATCTTCACTCCCATATGAAATTTGACCGTCTGCATTTTTGGCAGCAAATTCTGGAATGGAGGGCGGGGTTATAGCGAATGCAGGATCGATTCCTCCAGCACGGAGAGTTCTAGGGTTCGCACTAGCCTCGAGAGCTTTATTTTTTGCAAGTTCAAAAGCTTCGAGCCATTCCATGAGGATAGCCTGAGTCTCGGCTTGAACCAAAATTGTTTGATTCTTAGTTTTGACTTCAAAGCAAAATCTTCGATCTTCCTGGACAGCTGGTTTCACATTGCAAAGGAGGACACCAATCTTCTCACTCTCCTCGACTCCTCCTGACTGTATCCCTTGAACTAGCCAACCAAAGATACCATCTTTAACATAAAACCAGCGACGAACCCATACAGTTCTTGCCGGTTTACCAGATATTGTCCTTAGAAATAGCCAGTCTTGTTTCTCAGTTCGGTCCGTCTGCTTACTGTGAGGTAGAATACTGACCGTTGAGGGACCTCTCGAGCCAAGATAGGCAACTGTGGAAAGATTATAGTCCTCTAATTCTCTGGAAGGTTTTGTGGCTTGAGATGCAGTCTCCGCAATATCTCGCCTGGCAAGCTGCAGTTCACGTCGGAAAGTTGCCTCACCAGCCTCCATTTCTTTGCTCCACCCTCGCACACGATCCATTTCACCATTCCATTTCGCAAGATGTAATGAAGAGACCTCTCTTGACTTTTTCATCTCCCTCCATTGATCAGTCGATACCCTCACAAGTAATTTATCAATTGTATATCGTAGTTGGGGTGCAAGCAGACAAAAGTCTAAAGATGCTTTTAGATATGCCTTTCTCGTTTCGTGTACTTGAAAAGCATCCTCTCGCAGCGCTGAAGGCTCTTTTGTTTTTGACTGAGCCACGTATCTCGCTAGCGTAGAATCAAATGTCTTCTGCGATTGCTCTAAATATCGTCGGGCGTCTTTGAAATTCCGTAGCTCAGAAGCCATGAATGCTTTGATGGGCTCGCATATATTCGTATCGATTTTCCTGGTACCTGTCATGATCTGCGACCACCATTCCTTGGACCCTTCCCCAAATCTCTGCATTGCCAGCAGAGTATAGTCATGATCGAGGACGGCTTCGGAAACGTTCGCAGGAGGAATCGATCGAAAGAGAAAGTTATTGAATGCTTCCTCCAATGACAAAGCATCGTGAACGAGTTTGGTAATAGATCTTACGTAGGCGTCGAGCCATTTTTCAAGTATCTCTACTTGATCAGAGAAGTGAACTGCAGTCGCGCGAAAGGTTGGTGAATCGAGGGCTGCTTCCTTTAAGCCTACTGGTATCAAGCTCAATTGCCTATTGAGCTGTGGTATAAGGGGGGGCACAAAGTCCGACATGTTAATTAAACTCTAAGAAGAGTAAGAGATAGAATAAAACCAGACCTCATTATGCCATAAAGCTGCAGATGGATTTTATCATAGGAATTCGAAGTTGCGATTTAAGAGGCAGCACGGAAGTTTGGGTTGCAGGTGGGTTATTTTGGTGGTGAGATGAGATGTCTGGGGAAAGTGCCAGGGGCTTATTATCTTTCAACACAACTCACAAGAAAACATCAAACTCCAATAGAGAAGTATGTAAGTCTACAATGTTTATACTACATTAAGTACTTTGAGATGTTATATATAGAGATAAAATTCTATGTAGGGAACTATAATGAATTCATCAAGCTTCCTGACTCCCAATTCCAAAAGTTCCAGAAGGAAATTATTTTTAATATCGATTAATGTTTTCCTTTCCGGCTCAGCATGTCTCATCAGAACGCATGCATTGATTAGTGTACGAGGGTGTTTTCCTTTCCCGGCCCACCACCAAATCCGGCATCTAAATCAAGGTTATATCTCCTTGATTATTGATTTGCAGAAATCGTCGTAGGATAATCATTGTTCAAAAACATACAGACTAATATCAATTTTGGGCTTAAAATGGATTGCGACCCTAGTGCAATTAAAGACTAGAGACATTGCTCAAAATTTGTGCTAAGATGTTCCACCTTGGTGAAATCTATTAATAAACACCACAACTCTTACATTCGTGGTCCTATTCATATAAAATCCAATTACTCTTCAGCTGTAGCTTTTCCGACAGCTCCCTTGTTCTTTCTTGACCTCTTCTTCTTCTTCTTTTCTGGTATCTCTACACCTTCCATAGTATCTGCTCTTTCTCCAGCATCAGGACCAATAATAATTTCCGGACCATCCTCGTTACCGAAAGTCTCCTTTCTCCACTGTCTTAACCTAGCTTTTTTACCGAGATGCTTTTTGTCTTTGCGTTTCTTTTCAGCATCTCTGAAGGTGGCCATCTTCTTTAAGCCAGCAAATTCGTTGAGAGATGAGTCGGGTGCCATTAGAATATCTCTAGCTGTTAAACCAAATGAGGTGGGTGAAGTTTCGCGATATCTGAACACTGATGCCTTCTTGGAAGCCAATGAGAGATCGACATCAAGTTTACTGTCCACAAGATCCTCAATCTTTTTCCTTTCCAAGCGCGCCGCTTTCTTTTTGGCTTGCTTCTCCAGTTGTCGTTCTTTATTACTTTTCGATTTCTTGGACGATCCCTCCTCATCGTCGGAGTTCTCTTCCTCGTCATCCTCCAAATCCGATAGCGAAAAAGTTGGTTTCGAGGCTTCTTCATCATCGAAATCAGGAATGAGGTCTTTAATGTCGATATCGTCGTCCCATTTTGGCTTCTTCACCTTCTTCTTTTTCCCTTGTGTTTCATCATCACTATCGGATCCCCCTTCCTGCTCAGCGTAATAGCTATCTCCAAAGCGCCTGTTCATCTCAGCCTCCCAATTGTCATCATCCCAGGCTGCATCTAAGAATTGAGCCCATTCTTCATCTTTCAAGGTTTTACCACTTATTCCTGCAGCCTTCTTGATTTTTTGGAGCCTCTCCTCCATTTCTTCAATCTTTAAGCGCTTCAATCGCGCCCTTTCTTCCTCCCTCTCCTTCTTTTCAGCCTCTTTCTTCTCTCTTGCAGCGTCTCTTTGCTTTTTCCTGCCGCTGACCTCATCACGACGAACGGATTTTGCGGCGATGACATCTCTGGCATATGATTTCAACATCTCATTGCTTCCTTCAGGATTCTCGAATCGTAAATTGTAAGCTGCCTCAAACTGCTCGGCTCGGGTGTCATCTTCCTCGTCGTCAGATTCCATTGGTTGGAAGCGTGTACCGTCGCTGGGAACCCATGCGCGAGCTGCCATGAAGTTTGATAAAAATGTCTCCGGATCTTTGTCGGCAATAGCGACATCAACTTCAACCTTTGAAGCCCTGGATGGATGGATGCCTTGACTTGAAAGCTCGGGTTTTTTATCTTTCCTCACAAGAAATCCTTCATCCTCGTCCGAATCGGATCCATCTTCCGCAGCTGCATGCATTTCGCCAACAATCTTCCTTTTCAAAGCCTCTTGTTCTTGAGCGAATGTTTGTGGAACGTTCTCCTCTTCCTCCCCACCTACATGACCCGCCAACAAATTCTCTCGATGATAATCTTTCAGATACATAGGCTTCTCCTTCTTTTCTGTCATGGTTCCTTCCTCCGCGTCCTCATCAATTGGAGTATAAAATGTGACCTTTTCGTCATACACCCGAGGGTCTTTCGAACGGAGTGCTTGTAACGTAGCTGAGATCTCCTTGTCTAAATCCTCGGTCGCTAGAAATCCTTCATCATCTTCATCTTCATCGTCTGACGATGAAGAGTCCTCATCATATTTGTCGCCGTATTTCTTCTCGCCATTCTTTCCAACTGTTGGTCCCGGTTTTTTTGTGTACTTCTCCTCCACTAAGGAAATGATAAGTTAACCAAGTCGACAACCTTTGCAACCAAATTCACTCACATCTTTGAAGCTCTTCACGTTTCTTGTTATGCTCAAATCTCTTCGCGTAGTCTTGATTGACCTTGAATCCAGATTCAAGCGGGGCACCTCCAGTGGTATCGTCCTCGCTGCTAGAATCGCTATCATCTAACATCATTGTCGTCTTTTCGACCTTTTCGACCTTTGTGGTAGGTTCTTGTTTGACCTTTTTTGTGCCATTTTTAGTGACAAATTGATCTTGCGATTCAGCTTTTCTTTTTGCCATTTTGTGAGACTTTATTGTAGTTGTGAAAATGTGATGATGAAACTGTCCAATTAATTCTTCAAGCTTGAGAATCAAAGTCAAAATCAAAATCAAAAAAATTAAAATATTGGTCGGTGAAATGAGAGCAATGAGTTCCGGCGCTAATCGGCCCCAAAAACTAGCCAGGATCTTGATTTGGTCCATCATACTAATCCATTAATCCACCATTCCTCCATTCATAATCAGACTTCCTCCGAAAGCAGAGCTACCTACGTACCGAGCCTACCTACCTACCTAGTACTTATTTACATCTACTAAGGTATCAACCGCGAAAAGAGACTCAAACTCTTTCGAGATATCTTTCAAACATCATCGTATCAAAACAAAGCACTCGCGATAATAATCCGCGATTTTGGAGATACATTTTAGCGTCCAAGAAACACAATCAACAGCCCTCATCTCAATATCAAACCGGATCTGTGACGTATGGCAGACTCAACCACATCGGCTCCAAAGCCAAGTTCCAGCGTCAAGTTGGTTCTCCTTGGTGAGGCGGCCGTTGGAAAGGTATGTAGAGATTTGGAATGCCTATATTATAGGTCATCATGGTGACTTTTGTTTAGTCTTCCCTCGTATTACGATTCGTGAACAATGATTTTCAGGAAAACAAGGAACCTACTATTGGAGGTATGTATATCTTCATCTGTATTGCCCCAGACACATACGACCTTTACTAATAGTCGTTGGCGCAGCTGCTTTTCTAACGCAAAAATGTAACCTACCAACAAGAACGATCAAATTCGAGATTTGGGATACAGCCGGACAAGAACGTTTCGCGTCTCTTGCTCCTATGTACTATAGAAATGCTCAATCCGCCCTTGTCGTTTATGATCTTACAAAACCTACGTCACTAATCAAAGCAAAGCATTGGGTTGCAGAGCTTCAAAGACAAGCATCGCCGGGTATCGTGATCGCGCTTGTAGGCAACAAGCTTGATCTAACAAATGAATCCGACGATTCAAATAATAACTTAGGAGATGAGGAATCAGCCGAAGGCGAGGACTCAGGTGGAGATGCGCGAAAGGTATCAACTGCGGAGGCTAAGTCATATGCTGAGGAAGAGGGATTATTGTTCTTCGAAACTTCTGCGAAGCTTGGCACAAATGTAACGGAGGTTTTCACGGCAATCGCAAATGCCATCCCAGAGACATCTCTGAAGGGTGCTAGAGGACCTGGGGGTGTACAAGCAAGTTCAGCAAGAGGGGAAGATCAGTCTAGGGTCAATTTGACAGGACCAAGAGATAATGCTTCGAAGGAGGGTTGTGCTTGTTAATACATAGTCTCATTTTCACGGGATTTATTCCAATTTTCCCTTTCTTCGCAATCGTTCCGGTCTCTGGGGTTCTAGGAGGTTATTTTTGATATCGTTAGCTGTTTGTTATGGATACGAACAGAATAGTAGGTAGTAACATGAAGCAATTCGGGATTGAGGGGTCCAAAGAATAGTATTTCGATTTTCGGAAGTTTTTCATGGAGGAATGTGGCTTAGCTTGTAACAGAAGTATGTCACCAATGATCAATGAAGATGTCCCAGAGCTTCTGAAATTTCCCATTATGATATTGCTTGTTAGGCGAAAAGGTAAAACGAGTGAGTCAACCTTTTCCCATCCCGTGATGGCTTTACGCACAGTTGTTTCAAGCCTTCCCACCAAAGCACAGATACTTGCGAAAGACATCATCAGATCTCAAGTGCTCAGATACTTCTTGCATATCTCCACGTCTCGATTGATCCTATTTAAGTTCATACCAACTAGTAATGCTGAGCTTCTCCATTGAGCTATCGCAAGGAGTATAGAGTCTGACAAAAGGTGTTTCCAATGAGGTTGTCTCTGTTTGCATATTTGTTTCGCCTGATGATGAGATACAATGCTGTCTGATCTTTGAATTTGCCCCATAGGCTGGTATTGGGTGGCGGACGTTTGAGATTATTTGGAGAATGAGGAAAAGATCGTTTGGAATTGACACATATATATCGCACTTCTCTTCCCAATCTTCATTCCAAAACTATCCCAATACACTTTTTTCATCTCTTACTGTTCAACAGCTGGTCTGACTTATTTTCAATTACAACTTAATTCATTCAATTACTTTACATTACTTCCTATATATTCAAGATGCGTTCTTCAACAGCAAGTTTGATTTTGGCCTTCTGCGCCATGTTGGCAGTTCAGGCAGCGCCAATGGATGCTACCAATGTCGCTCGCTCGGTTTCTGGTATTGAGGCAAGAGCTGAGTTCGGGATTGTGGCTCGTGAAAATGGCTACGATGCAGAGGGTAACGAGATCGACTCTAACGGGAACTTGGTTGAACGTGGTGAGTAACCTGTCACAGACACTTTATCCCTGAATAACCACTAAGAGATCAATAGATACTGGCTATAACGCGGATGGTGAGGAAATCGATGAAAATGGAAATCCCATTGATAAGAGAGCCAAGAAAGGCAAGAAGCGTACGTTGATCCAGCTGTTCTGATCACAGATTTCTGAGGCTGATATTTGTATAGCCAAGAAACCTGAAGCACGCGCTGAGAGTTCTTATGATGCGGACGGAAATGAAATTGATGCAAATGGCAACTTGGTTGAGCGTGGTGAGAACCATCAAGATTTTAATCTCTTCAACCCTAAGACAGCTTGCTGACAGCAACAAGATTCAGAATACAACGCTGCTGGCGAAGAGATCGACGCGAATGGAAACGTGGTCGAAAAGAGAGCCAAGAAGGCCAAAGATGGTAAAACAAGATCACTTATTCGAGGTCATCCCCATATTGACATCTTATAGCCAAGAAGGGCAAGAAGCCACAGAAAGCCGAGGCACGCTCTGACAGTTCTTACGATGCCGACGGAAATGAAATTGATGCAAATGGCAACTTGGTTGAGCGTGGTGAGTAAACTTCCCAGTTATCAAAACCAAGCCCATAAACTTCATCTAACATATTCCAAAGATACAGGTTACGATGCCTATGGCAATGAGATTGACGAGAATGGAAAATTAATCGATCGTGATACCGAATATGATGCCAATGGTAATGAAATCGACGATAATGATAGCGACAACGACAACGACAACGATAACGACAACGAAGAGTATGATGCACAGTATGTATTTACTTTCCTATCCCCGTTTTTCTCTACAATGCATCAATACATGATTACTAACTTTTTTTCCTAGAGGAGACGAACTTGATTCCAAGGGAAACATCGTCCAGCGTCGAAACAAGAAGGACAACAAAAAGGCTCAGAAAACACGTAGAGGTATTTTCCCCCATTTCTTTACTACCTACCTCCCTAGAAATCTCCCTGGCGTTGCACAAAAAAAGAAAGAAAAAACCATTCACTAACACCTCATACAGAATACGATGCCTACGATCCCCAATATGACGAAGCAGGCAATGAGATCGACAAAGATGGAAACTTGGTTAACATCTAAACTCACTTCATGTTTCATATTTCCTATTTTATATTTCACATCTATCTGCATCCATCATCTGCGGCTTTTCCTATCGTGTGCTTTAGTTATTTAGAATCAGTCGAGTGTCATTCATCTCATATTATCAATCAAATATATAGAAATTTAAATTCATTGATTTCCTGAAATATTATTCACTTTGTTTTTATCTCTATCCCATTATATTACATGTTTCATACATTCATAGTATATCAATATCTGTATCAAACATCAACCAACAAATTAAACCTCCTACCTCTACTTTCTTCTCCTTCTCCTTCTCAAATTTGAAATTAAAGTACTACATACTACATACTACCCACTACCTACTAAATACTTATCTTTCCACATAATTCTCGCATCCAAAAACCAAAGTTTAAAAAGAAAAAACTAGATATATCATATAATATAATAACAAACGAAAAATTCAGATATCTTACATTCCATAAGGATATGATCTCATCTCGCGAACCGAGCTTTCCCCTGAAACACCATCCATCATCAAACGAAACATCTGTACTCCCGGAATTTGGAAACGATATTTGAAACTCGTTTTGTGTCAGTGAGTTTTGAATAGGTGTATTTGTCTGGGTTATTTACCTAGTACTTCCAGATGTTATAGCTACTTGTGTGTGATTCATCTATGTCCGATTTGCGTTGTCCCGAATGTTGATGCGTTTGTTTAAGACTCTAGCTTAAGGTTACAGTTTCATCACTGTTCTTTTGTTGCAATATTGTGTTGTTTCGATAAAAACAGTAGTATTATTCACATCTATAGATACAAAGCTTCTATTACTCTTTTCATGTATCCGTTTCCTTTAAGTCATGATTATCATCATCATCATCCTTTAGATCCCCGGCATCCCCAAAACCGATCTCACAGCCGGATTCAATCGTGGCAACCAAAATACCACAAACACTCCTCCAAAAGCGACAATCAGTCCCGTAAACTTCTCAAACCACGTATGGAAATACATGGCCGTCATAGCTAACATGAACAAACTCAATCCCGCCACCCCTAGTATAATCCTCACACTAAGACCTAACCAACCATCTTGATTCAATCCCTCTGCTTCATTCTGCGGAGGCGCTTCCACATCCGCAGATTTGATCGCTCCATCTTCCATCACTATTGTGCGTTCCTCCTTTATTCCCGAGCTGCGTAACACAACATGAAGTACTTCCTGGAATAGAAACATACTCCCAAGAACAAGCAAGAATACATGTCCACTGATATCATGACCACCTCTCCATTTTCCACCTACAGCTTTACAAGCTACCCCCGTGAGAAACTGACGCGTATCATCCATATCGACGTGTCCCTTCTCTGCCGCATCAACCATATCACATTGACCACCCGTTATGATAAATCCGCGATCAATAATTGCCGGGCCAAAAAACCATTGCGTGACGAAGATCCACCAGGTGGTCACAACCGCATAGCGTAAAAATCCGCGGAGTCGTCTTGGAGTGACGGTGAGAACGCCCGGAGGACCAGTCGATGGATGCGTTAGGAGGAAGAAAAAATAGCTAGCGGTAATCCACGCCCAACCTTTCTTCACGAACCATTGATTGAAAATATTGCTTTTCTTTGCGAAATAAGAGGGAGCGGTGCTGGGCGTATGTGATTGAAGTGCGGCGCTGTATTCGGATGCTCGTACATCGGGGCTTAGAACCGAGAATATCGAGCCTAGGAGTAATGTTGCAGGATATATGGAGAGGAGTATTGATTCGAAGGGGGTTGGAAGAAATGGTGATCTGCGCGGAGTCATTTTGACACTTGTTGATGTCGCTTCAACTATGCGCGACGAGCGTCTTTTATTGTGGGAGGGCGATGCCATTGTTGGGATATGGTACTATAACATAGGGTATTGAACAAAAGATGGAACTGTCTCAAATACGGAGATGACTGTAGTGCTGGTACAATCTATTAGAGGCAAGAAATTTCGAGTAATCAAAATGTAGCCTATGACGTTTGAGTCTTGCTTGTGAATTTTGCCATGTGTGTTCATGAACAGGGCAGGGATCGGAAATAGGAAATCCCGAGAGCTTTCCCCAGATTCGGCTGATTGATTGATTTGATTGATGGTGATTCGAAAGGAAGAATGTGCAACAAGTTTCAGAAGAAGATCTGAACAGATTTATCTATTTAAATACTAGAATCTAACCAAACAATTCCATCCGACTATTCACCCAAATAATTTTCTAGAAAAAGAACCAGAAAGAAAATTACAAACAAAGAAAAATGGTATCAACACGCGGACACCCGCAAGAATTCCCGGAAACACCCACTCGCACACCTACCATCCCCTCTCGCAATCCCCTCCGCAAAGGACCATGGGCGCATACCCCCTCTAACCTCACCATCATCTGGCTCTTTATCTCTCTACCACTCGTAGCATGGGATGCCGGATATGTAATGCTTCGACCTCTTTCTATGCCGGGCGGGTCACTGCATTGGCCCATTTGGGCGCCGTATGAATTATACGGCAAGGTCGATTATATATATGGATGGAAGGCTTATAATGAGCACAATGGATTTACGGCCGCGCAGACCTTTTTAAATGTTATTGAGAGCGGCATGTATTATTACTATTTGTATATTTTATATGCTTATGGGAAATCATCGGCTGCTCAAGGCAGAGGTGCTCCAAAGAATTCGGGGTTTCTTGGAGAGCAAAGGTTTGTGGATGGGAAGATGGGGGCGGTGGCTGTGTTGGTGGGTTATAGTGCTGCTGTTATGACTGTGAGCAAGACGCTGTTGTATTGTAAGTCTGAATTGGGTATTGGTTTTGGTGATGTTTTTGCTAAGATAATCTTAGGGATGAATGAATATTATTCTGGCTTTGAAAATATTGGTCATAATAGTATTCGTGATCTTATATTCTTATGGATCATTCCAAAGTAAGTCATTTGAGGTTGTGAGAGGTATGCATATTCTCTAACTTTCTTTAGTGGTGCATGGCTAGTTGTTCCTTCGTATATTATATATGTGACTGGAAGTGAAATTGTTCAAGGTTTAACCATTGCTGCTGGAGGAGCTACAGCTTCGAATGATGATGTTTCTTTGGCAAAGACAGAATGAAGCAACGAGTAAAGGTTTATGATATATATGAGAGACAATTGACTATGGAACGAATTTTGGGGGGATTTTTTTTGGTTTGGCCTTTGAAAAATGCTGCGAGGACGAGATACCATGAAATACCTAGTATAGCTATTTACAGAAAATGATAATTGATATATGAAAGCATAGTATTACTCGTTGCTTAGGACAAGAAATGATAAATAGTAGTGCTATGAAGTCTATTAAAATAATTTAATGAATTCAAAGCCCATTAAATGGAACAGACAGTAGTTAATGACGAAACTATGCCATGGCAGCAATGTCAATTATCTACAAACGTCTGCAGCTATTGGACCCTTCGAAATGAGCTGAAGGGGATTTTAGATAATAATTGCGAAGCAGAGATGAAGACTTTGGCACTTCAAGATTCAATTATTCTATATATTACCAAATAACAAGTGTCTCCACAACCACTACTAGAAGTTAACTTCTAAGTAAAGCCTGCTTGGCGCAGTGGTAACGCGTAGCACTTGTATGTAATAGCAATGCTAAGATCATTGGTTCGATTCCAGTAGTAGGCAATTGACTTTTTGACCTTGTCCACCTTTTGGGGTGGTTGTTGAGTGGAAAGTTTATTTTTGGTCGTGGTGGATGGGAGGAAGAAAGGATGGTTTGAAAGAAGCAGGAAGTTCGAAGATTTGTCTAGAAGGTCTTTTGTGTTGTGTTTTTAGTTTGGGGGATGGAGAGTTTTGATGATGCTGATTTGTGGGTTAGACGGGCGTTGTATTTATTAGTGGGTCATAAAAGTCCACCATATAAAATTTCACTTCAATAATTGATTGACTCTTATTATTATTCATGCGCTCTATCTAGTAGCTTCGAAGTTCACACATACACTTTTTTGATGACAAGCCCAAATTTCCGTTGATAATGGGTGCTTTTTCTGGTTTTGATTCATGAAGCAAAGCCTACATACATAGTTTTAGGCCTGGAAGAATGCTCAAAGTTTAAGTCGACCGCTAGTGCCGTCTGCGCCTATCATTTTGTTTCCAAGTTTTAATACCAGGAAGATCATCTATTATTGAGTAGGTACGAGTAGTGTTCTTTCTGATTTCAAGTATGATACGAGCACTAAGGATACCTATCTTGAGTTTCTTGGGATTTAGTATGTAGATTGATAGCTGTGAACATAGTGCAATCATTCACTTCCTATTCCACCCCTTCGTCTGGTGATCTTTTAACCTCGCGATTAATTCACGCAGTTGGTCAGTCATGTAAATTGGATCAACATTTTCAATGATTTAAGTTGTGGAATAAATCTGATGCTAGGCTTCAGTGTACCATACCTTTTAATATTATAGACGGGATTCGAGTGGATTCAATATTGGTGATTTTTCGAGTACGGCTCGATATAATGGATTCAAGTGATATAAGATATGTTCTTCTCATAACGTAGCAGATGTTAATACAGACACATAAATAGCTTCGAACAATGCTTGTCGGATCTTTTAGCGTTTCAATACAAGTCTACCCATTAGAAGCTGTCGACTCGTGTAGAGTTAGAAAAGGCCTCCTTGAAAGATAACGGATACCGTTTAAACTTCACATTTGATTCCGTGGAAAGTTAAAAGCGGCTTTCGATCCCTGCTTCAGATCAATGATGTGCAACAAATAAATATCGTTGCACGTGAGCACCATTTACTACCTACCTAGGTATCGAATGAGGAAATTGTCTGCCATCGGGCAAATTCTCACAATTTGATTTTAAAAGTTTCCTACTAGGTATTTCAATAATGTCCTTAGTAAATGTGAGGACAGCCTTGGGAACAGCTCAAATTGCGGGAAATAGATTTGAATGTGCAGGTGAGATCTTATATCGTCACAAGAAAAGACTGTCCATATATAAACGTCAACAATTCCTTTAAAGTCCGCGGTCCCAGATGCCAGCACATTGAAACAAACTAGGCTAAAACTTGCACTTTAATGTCATGACCGGTGGTTCAGGTATAACATAATATCTATGAATCAGTTACCCAAGGAATTCTGGGAAAACTGCCCCTACTGTTTGCGAAGACGAGGAAGTGAATTGGGTACTGATTGAAAGATAAGCCTGGAGCATTCGAAAAGAGGTCCAAAGAGGTCCGTGAATCTTGCTACCAAGGCAACAAAATCGTAGAATGCACTAGACCGATTAAGCATGAGCACTTTGGGGTAGAGTGAAGCTAGTCGAGTACTCCCCATACTTAAAAACAATAACCCAACCCAGAGAAAATCCAAGAACAAAAAAATCGAAAGACCCTTCACCTTGAGACAATGTCCAGAATGATCTCGCTGCGGAAGATTTTCAGAAAACTTAGGTTAAAGGCTCGACCTGATACTGCTGCCGAAGCAGAAGAGGAGCCAATCGCATCACCACTATTTCGCCTTCCACCAGAAATAATATTATTGATAGCAAACATGCTTCCAACACCATCTATCGCCTGTCTTGCTCTCAGTAGCCGCCGTATGTATTATACACTTGGGTCCGACTCCTGGAAGTCTTTAAAAACCGAGACACCTGATGTCTTGTCCGCACTTCTGTCATTGTTAGCGAAAGACCTTCCTGAGCACTTCATATGTCAGGTTTGTACCCGCATTCATCGAACGAGTGTGATTAATTGGCCCCGCAATATTGACTACCGCCGCCGTCCTCCTTGTGCTGGGGATATTTTCGGCTATAATAATTTGTTTTTTTCGCGGTTTCGAATAAATTTTCCTCACATCCAGCTGGCAATAAGGCAACATTTACACGGTACCGATATTGGATTTCCTCTCGAAGCTTTTCAAATTGTAGAGGTTGAACACGATGTGAAAAAGCAGAAGGTTGCCTTGTTGTCTGCCGATGCCCAGATTGTCTCCAACGAACTTTTGATGCGGTCTCAAACATGGACTCTACTCCCACAAAGCCGACTCGAGGAATTCATCGACAACTTAGCTAAGGACAGTCTTTCCACTGATATATGTATACATACAAGAATAGGCGCTTGTAAGGAAAATCGAGTATCAAATTTGGTGAGATCTAGACTCGACCCGCGAACAGCTCCATGGGCTCGAGGAAAACGTCTTGAACAAACATTGCAATGTTCTTATTGTTACATGGACTTTGTGTTCGGTGTATTAGATTTTGGAGAGCGGGGGCTTGCGGTAGTTGTCACAAAATGGGTCAATCTGGGTGCTGGGCTAGACATCGAAGATGCGAAATGGAAAAGTCATCTCATCAACCACGCGGATAGGCCTGTTCATCACCTGCAACATTCAGGGGATATTCGAAAAGCCTTCGAAGGTCAGGAAGAATTGTCGTTGAAAGAGCTCACTCTTGATAATCAAATGAGACTGTTTTCGAGAAGAGGAAAGCAAATGACTTATCGAGGGTCGGATGGCCTTGTCTGGAAATGGGATATAGGACGGCGCTGGTATCTAGATACCTCCAAACCACGTGAAAGGAGCTTTTTGGACTTTTTCAAGAGGCCCTAGACGCAGATGGAAGATGATACCTTGCAACTGGTGGTCTCTCTAAGAGTGTATACTGCGATTGAGGATGGAGTGTGTGTCTGATTTGGGGCACAAATTTATCCTGTACGTAAGATGGGGATGTACTACAAGCTTCTCTTACAGTTTAATGTGTGGAATTTGAATCGGGTATGAGATGAATGTTATGGTAGAAATCCAAATATTTAGTAATACTGATATTTGAGGTGATTACGAGAATTCACGCGCCAAACAACAGTGTTTGCGGCCACTTATTGTGTAACGACCATCAAATACAACACTATGCAAATGACCAACGTCACTTGACTTTATCTTCTGGTGATTCGATTAATTTTATACTCCAGTTAACTGAATGTGATAGTTTCTAAGATGCACAGAAGTTGCGAGTACGCACCAGTTGGTGTAGTGTAACTATAACCTTTATGCATTCTGGGAACAGACGAAGTGGAAGTTGATTGAAGAGACGCGACGGCATCGTAATTTGAAGACACTCCGGCTTCTAGCAGGTATTCAAATTCATCAGGTATATAAAAGGTCTTTGGGGGGATATAATAGAACACAAAACACAAGATCCTATATTTTTGATGATGCAAATATTTGATGATTCCCATACTAATAAGATCACCCACTGGGAAATTCAGCGTGGTTTAGAAAATAGTGGGTAACCGTTCTGGAACATGACACAACAGTATAAACTAACCACTTGGTTTTTATAGTTGACTGCAGAAATATCCCTGTATACCACTGTCTCTACAACCAAGCCCTTTGGTGAACTGGCTATCCTTCTGGATTGGTGAATGGTGAAGGTGGAAGGGGAAATATGGGAATTTGATGCGAGTATATCAGAAATTTGCGCTGACTATATATATCGAGCACTAAACTCGAGATTGTCAACGTACAAACAACGGCCCCTGGCTCGAGAAAGTATTGGTCCTGTGGTTCAGATATTTCCCCTCTGGGAGACAAATGGTTGCAAGGTGGTTTTCTGTGTGCTGGATGGATTGCATGATGAATGTTATCATGATATCGATATATTGAAAGAAGCAAATTTGACAGATTGAACGACGGATTTTCTGAGATCGTAGTTACGATTACTAGAAATCGAGTTTGTGTCTGGGATGTAGTTCTGGGGAAGTCGATAAATGTTTCAGTGGTTTAAGGAAAGTGTGATTGGGTAATGGGGAGTAACGAGGTTGTGGCCGAGCAGAGCGGCTAAGAAGTTTTATGCGCCGGTAATATACAGATGATAGGATTATTAACATCTGAGAGAGTTTTACCATTGGTGACCTCGGAATGAAATGTATTAATGTATTAAGGTTAGTGGAGATGATGTGACGAAACTCCGGCCGGTCCTTACTTGTTCCTAGGTATTATTATTATTGTCTTTTGTACGGTTAATGATTACCTCTTAGACCTTGCTTACTACCTAGGTACTGAATGTTCATTCCTTCATTATCGATTTCATAAGAACAATTCTTCATTGATTCTTTTTCTGGTCAATTGTTATTCAAACAACAATACACCTCCATATATAAAAACGCTGCATAGATTTCTATTTCTATAAATGAAGGGTCTCCCTATCTACTCAATACTTTAATGAAATGAACCATAATAAATTGAAACGATGATTGATTGATATCAAAGTCAAGTGAAACCATTCATTCACCCACATGTCTACGGACGGACTACTACTCCTTTCAGGTCAAAGGAGGGGCTAGCTAAACAGCAATCAGGATGCAAATACACTAATAGAATCTCAGACTTTTCCCCTTCCCTTCACTTTACTTACTCACTTCACTTCAAAGAACCATCAATTCTAAACTGATTAAACCCTAAATACACCCACCCCTTTATCCCTTCATAAAATTATTACATGATACCTACCTAACTAACCTTGGATATATTTATCGATTTCATATTTTTTCTCTCCCTTCATTGTTTGACCAAATAAATTATTCACTTGCACTTACTTAACCTACCGGCGCATGCATAATCGGGTAAATAAGAATTTATAGTATATACGGTACATAGGCTTTCGACAGGCCTAGGTGAGAAAAAGCAACTGAAAACAAGAAAATGCGTCTATCGCCACTAAAATAAAATCATTAACAAATCAACATCCCTGCCGAAAGCGTCCGTTCATCGAACCATCCATATCCACATCCACCATCCCAATCCCAGACTTTACTACCTGCCTTTACAAACCACACAAGCAACGGACTTCTCATTCTCCACCTCAATACAACCACCAACAATACATCCAAAATTTTTTGCTTTCGCGCTTGATAAGATATCCTCCAACACTTGCAAGAATTTGTTACTCTTCTACTCCGGCTGGCCGAGAATATCGGGCTGGATTCATATTCGCTATTACCTTGGGACATTTGAAGAGGGAAGCACACAACCCAGGCAACATTTGAAGGGTGCGATAAGGGTACCGTATAATGATGGAGGACGTCCTGCGGGGGATGCAGCAATCAACTCTTATGACCTCGGTCTTGTCCTCAACGCCAACGTCGATACCCATAATAGCTGGCGCTCAGGAAGCTCTTCGAGATACATTACAACAACCGACTAGTGTTCAATATGTGCCGGCTGCTGCCACCAGTAGCCTTAGCGACAATGTTCAACTTCAGTCTAGCAATGATTCCACGATAAATGGTGTGGTGATTGGATTACTGAGCTCATTTGGCTCAGCCATACTGATAGCTTTGATCTTCTTGATTGTTTATTTCTTCAAATATACAAGTAGTGGAAGGATTTTACTGGATCGGATCGGAAGGCCGGGAGAATATGATGATGAACAGGCTTTTGCAAAGGAAGAGGCGGAAGCCTTGGAGGAAATGGATGATTTACAAAGAACTGAATATTTGAGAGCCAAAGGTACGTCTATTCGTTATCTACCTATCACTCGATATGCTAATCATATTGTCTACATAGCATTCGTACAATCAAACCCACCCGATTCATTACCAACCGACATTTCCTTATCACAATATTTGGCAATTCAAGAAAAGGGAGTCTCTGCTTGGGAGTTTGAACCAGAGTTGGAGATTGCAAATTGTTTTGTAGAGGCTAGGACGGAAATCGAGTTCTTTGATAGTGAGTGTTGCACTCTTACGAATCTACCGGTACCAAAACAGAATGAGGTTTATTACTGGGAGTCTAAGATTTACGATAAGCCGGAAAATACTCTCATTAGCATCGGAGTAGCGACAAAGCCTTACCCTTTGTTCAGATTACCAGGTATGTTGTTTGGATCATGAATAATGAAGAAAGTTACTGATATTAGGCAGGGTGGCACAAGTATTCTGTTGCTTATACATCTACTGGACATCGAAGATATAATCAACCTTTTAGCGGACCGGTATATGGACCACAATATGTTCAAGGGGATGTTATCGGAGTAGGATATCGACCGCGAACTGGCACAATTTTCTTCACTCGAAACGGAAAGAAGCTCGAAGATGTAGCACACGGTCTGAAATCACAAAATCTTTTCCCAGCTGTTGGAGCAAATGGTCCTTGCACAGTACATGTCAACTTCGGGCAATCCGGATTCGTTTTTATTGAAGCAAATGTTAAGAAATGGGGCTTAGCACCTATGACTGGTAGTCTTGCTCCTCCTCCTCCATATGGTAGTGAACAAGGAAGCATTTTATTAGAGGCCGGACGAGAGAGCGCACAGAGTAGTAATGGTTATTATCAACCTGATCCACGACATGGACGAACTCGAAGTGGAAATTTTAGGCATGGTCCACCTACAAGCCCCGGACCATTACGATCACCCACAGATATTTCTTTAGCTCAACTTACACACATTCCTTCGCATGAAGAGCCCGGCGAGGCATCAAATAGTTCTACACCAGCACCTACAGGAAATACGACAACGCAACCTGGATTAAGTGTACACGATAATGCACAACCACCTCCAGAATATACAAGTCCTTTACCATCAGAAGCAGGAAGTCCTCGAGGAAGCACAGATGGTGAAAGGACACCAATGTTAAGAAGAAAAACTACACCACCGCCTATACCTAGTTATAATGATGCAGTAGCACAACGAAATAGAAGTAATAGTCATAGAGACCAGGTTGGAAGTCGCCGAGAAAGAAGCGATAGTCATCAAGCTCGACACGGGGATGGAAGTCCTTCTCGATCATGATTTAGCATAGTGTGAATACACCAGAAGAATTTGACATGAAGCGAGGAGTTTAAAAGAAAATGGAGAGGACGATCAAGTTTGAATAAAGGATTTTGATACGTTATGGATCAAGTGCTGGATCGCGGGAACTTTCTGGGGCGTGGGACTCGGAGTTAAATATGAAAATAGCGTGGTGTGGTATAGTTCCTATGTTGTTGAATTGAATGGTGGTCTGGTGCGATTTTTGGTATGGTCTTGCTTGGCTTGGTATGGCAAGGAAGGATATGGTTGGAGAAGGAATGGAGGAATTGTTATCGGCGTCTCGGGAGTTATATGATGGATGGATCCTTGAACATAAGATGAAGGTTTTGAAAGAAGGATATTGAGATGGAGATTGTAAGAATGGGACTTTTTTGGTGACAAAAGTGTGTTTCAAGAAGTGAAATCGGTGGATGTTGTGATGGGATGAGATGTGATGAGATGAGATTCATAGGAAGAGAGTGGAATGGAGGAAATGAAGCTATACTGATTGCTAGGCTAGGCTAGGTGATTGAGGTGGAAAGTGTCAATTAATTTGACTTGTGCATAAGATAGTTGTTGATGCAATACAAATATATCATGTTCCTTTGTCAATATCAAATAAATATTATTTTCCTTTGTCGGTATTAAATACATATTATTTTCTATACGAGTGTGTGGTATTGTGTACTTACAAATACCCCCCACGGAACTAAATAACCTTCACAAACCCCACCTCCACCAACCCCTCAACCGGTAAATCCAAATCCGCCATCTTCCCCCTACTATTCTCTCTCATCCACAAGAAAACCCACAATACAGCGCTCCGAATCCAATTTCTTATATTCTTCCCCCCGCGACGTGCAATTTTCATCTGTTCTTTTCCGAGAACATAGACGATTTGATTTGAAGCCGCGTGTTGGATTTTGTCGAGTTCGGCTTGGATGGTGGGGGTGTGGAGGATATTGGTTGCGTTTGCATTTGAGTTTGAGGTTGGGAGGGGGGATTGGATGTTATAGTTTTCCTTTTCAGATGTTCCGAGATGACTTTGCAGACCGGTAAAGGTAGCTTGTTCACGAGTTATAAAGAGGATGAGTTGAGAAATGAGTGTTGAGCCGATGGAAGGAGTAATGATATCATCGGTATATCCATGACGAATTGTAATGCGGTAACAAGATGGGATAGATGTACGTTGAATAACATAACGATGGGTATCTGGCACATGCGGAATGGAAAGCGGACGCATATGTAAAAAAATGATAATTTCCGGCGTCGCGCAGAATTTGCGTACGAATTGTGTGAAGACGATGGGTAATTGATCGCCTATTTTATCGAAGAAGATACCGATGCTTGGAACGGTAGTGAGGGGTGCGGAACCGAATGCTGCGGTTAGGAAATTGAGGTTTGGAGTGAGTGGGTCGCTGGTTATGAAGTGGGAGGGGGGGATGCGATCTTGGGATTCCGAGGTCCATTGTTGTTCTTTGCCGTATCGCCATAGGATGAATATGCTTGAGAGGATGGAGGCGAGGAGGAGAGTAAACCAGGCGCCGGTGGGTACTTTTCTTAAGGCGGAAGAGAGATAGATGCCGTCGAGGGTGGCGAAGATTAAGAAGAAAATGAGGACGATGAGGACGTTGATACGCCAGATTATGATGGCGACGAGTGATACCATGCAGGTTGTGATGAAGGTTACGAAGATTACGCAAACACCATAGGCATTTCCGAGGCGAGTAGTCTGGATGATATTAGTAAAATAGCTCAACTATACTATTGTGAAAGATTGTGTGTAGAAAAACAGAGACATGCGTTACTGTAAACTGCTGTCACTATAACAGTACCAATCATAAGCAGCCAATTTGCTAACGGCATATATACTTGTCCGTGAAACAATTTCGACGTATGAACAGTTTTGATATGTGGAAAATAGGATAATCTCATAACCTGTGATAGCAATTGAAAACTAGCTGTAATCATAGCCTGTGAAGCAACGATAGCAGCTAGAACTGCTATTACAAGAGCAAAATCTGTATTTTATTAGCTAATCTCCTGCCAAAGTCAAAGGCGAAAACTTTGTCACTTACAGAATGTCCCAGGAGGAACAGTATTGAAGAAAGGATTTGCATAAGCAGTTCTTGTAGTGTCTTGAGAAATATATGCAGCTTGTCCTATATATGCCAATAATAGACAAGGATAGGTGAATCCTAGCCAGGAAATTTGCACGGCTCTTTTACTAAAAGCTCCTAGATCAGCAAACAGTGCTTCTACTCCAGTGAAAGCAAGTAAAAGTCCGCCTAATGATTGCCATCCTTCCTCTTTATTGCGCATGAAATATGCTCCTGCAAAATAGGGCGAGAATGCTTTTAGGACAGTGTGGTCGTATTGAGCTAGGTTATAAATGCCGGTGCACATATTGAATAGTAGCCAAATGATGACTATAGGGGCGAATGCAGATGCGATCTTTGTGGTTCCAAATGGCTGGATGGCAAATAGTAAAATGAGGATAGCGCAAGTGGTTCCGACGATTGTGCTGGTACTGATACCTGGTTGTGCAACTTCAATTCCTTGAATCGCTCCCAGTACGGATTGGGCGGGTGTAAGAACTCCATCTCTGGTGGGTGATCATTAGCTTGTGGTCTTTTATACGGGCCACAGTTTGTTACTTACGACATAACCATACTAACACCTACCACACCCAAGAATTTCAAAACTACTCTAGCGACTGCGGATCCCTCGATAAAAGTTCGGATGTTATTATTCGAAGGCCTCAATTCATTAGTATCATGTCGTTCCATCTTGACCATTCCTGAAATCTTTGGATCTAGTTGGACGATATGTGCATAACGGGCTAGTAAACTGTGGAGCGCAAATGTGCCTCCTTCCCCATCGTCATCGGCGGACAAAACGATAAAGACATATTTTACAGAAACCATAAGAGTGAGGGTCCATATTATTATGGATAGTGCGCCCACTAGATCATCGTATGACGGGTGGTTTGTAAAGGTGGAGGAGTAGACATAGAGGGGACTCGTACCTGTGAGATAAATGGTGAGTTATTGTGATGCATTAAAATGGCATTGAACTCTTACCGATATCCCCATAAATGACACCAACACTTTGGTATGCTAGCCACATAAGCATCCATCCGGTATATGTCTGGAATAGAGTGAGCGAAGCAACGTGAAAATTGATTGTTGCATGGAGGGTAAAGAGTCTGAATAACCCGAAAGAAGAATTAGGATGACCATGACAAAGTCAAATCTTCAAACTACATACCTGTTTCTTCTTATTCAGATCTTCATTAGCAATCTCTAATGCCTTCTCCTCGAAGTCATGACTAGTGGCCGCCTGCGATACTTTTGATTCTGCCAACACATCACCAAATGCCAATCCATTCGATCTATTTGACCTCATGGGCTTTATCTCGTCCCCAAAGTGTATTTGCTGGGCTGGATCTGCCATCTCAGTACTAGTGCTTGAGAATTATGTTTATTCTCTGGCTCTGGGTTTGAATAGGATGCGAACAAATGCTCAAAATACTGTTCTTGAAAGGCCAGTGACAGTACAAGAAACAATCGCACAATTGAGAACTGAATAGCGAAGACACTCTACTTCAATAGCAATGAGGATTCAATTCACTTATAGAGTATGTAGACATAGCAGTATTATCTTCTCCTCTCTTCCCTTCCTTCTCAGCCTCATCCCACCACATATATTGGAAATAATGAAAGCCATTGGTCAATCCCCTCTCATTCAAGGGTAGAAAAGAACAATATCAGGGGTTGTGAAGGGTAGATATCTTTGCGACTAACAGCTCCACTGATGATATCACTGATATCTGAAATTTACCCTTTGGAAAACTCTGACAATATGACATTTATCACTAGATTTAGATTACTTCTCGAGCGAGCTCCAAGCCATAAGCTTGTTAAGGAGTACAGATGATAAAATTTCTTATCCGCGCCCTCGGATTCGAGCAGGCTAAAATCCCTCATGTTGGACAGAAATCCCTCATCCCCAGCTCAACGCCTTTTGCGGCAGGAACCAACATTGGGGATTGATATTCGGGGATGCTGCAGAGGTAAGCAATGTCCTTAAATGATCCTGCAGCTTGGTGATCTTTGTAGCGCAGTGGGATGTTTGGATAATGTGATATTGTATCAAATCCTTTTGCATAATGAAGATTGATTGGCGATATACTCACTCGTAGGCTTGGGTGGGTCTGAAGATAGTCTTACATTACGCTTCACGTGAATCATCTGTCATGTCGTTGAATCATTCAAAACTTTGACAGATCGAAGGTATGACAATGACTGATACACAATAAATTGATGGATATATGGAAGTTGGAAGAATATATAGGATTTCTAATTGAGGGAATATAAACTTCATCCCCCCCCCACTCTAAGCTTCATTTGAATGGGTAGCTAACTGTGATGACTAATCTTACCCTCGTACATTGACCTCCTCTTCATGTAGATATTTTCATTGCACGATATCAAAGACAAGAATGACCCGGAGAAATGAAATAACCGTCATAATGTATATAACTGCCAATATTCAAGGTGGTTGGATCAATCGTACAAGAAATTTGGAAGATCGGTCATCTTGGCAAATCCTTCACTTTTTTTCAGTTACCTGGTTCCCCTCGATAATTCGTGCCCGCAAAGAACAACTTCTAGGAAGAAGATTCTTTGCAACGTTGAGGACAGGGTGAGAAATTTCTTATCAAAGTAAATTTTGTTAGGCTCCGCAGTACACCGATCATTTCACGTACAAACACGAAAAGGCATTCACATTGAGAGCACTTATAAGTTACGTTATGCTATGGGTAAAATTCAAACACGCTGATCAAAAAATTGTATTTTTTTATGGTTAAAAAAGAGCGGTCAGAAGAGGTTGCTAACTACCCGTACGCTTGTAGCTCCGATGCCACTGCTACGACGCTAACTACTCAACATGGAGGAACAAGATTTCGGGTTGGAGACAAGTTGTTAATCAGGTCTCCTTAGGAATACCGGCTCAACACACCAAGCAACTCTCCCTTGAACCTCATGGCTTTCTTTGATGCCTCCCACTCCTTATGTAACTTCATCATCGCTGTTTTATATTCCTTTTCTTCCTGAGTTTCCCACTCGTCTATCTCATCCAACCTTTTCTTTAAACCTGTTGCTATTTCTCCTTCACCATCCATTAATTTTAATAACCTCTCACGCGTTTCCTCTCTCAGTTCTTGCGCACTATCTTGTACTGCGTGCCATGCATTGAGCAACTCCTCGCCTGATTCTTTCCTCAGAGCTCTCAATTGCTCATTTTCCCCCTTGAAGAATTTGTTTCTCTCCTCCCAATCCATTGTCATCCCCAACGGCCCCAACATGTCCATCAATGTTTCCCTTTTGTAAAGGTGTACTCTAAGTTTCTTTTGATAGTTTGTGTACGCCGCAAAACTTCTATTCTTGACCGACTTCTTTCTCTCTGCCAGTTTCAAAGTACAATTCTCTCGCCCTAACATAAAGCAGTTTGACTTGTTTCTGACTTTTTTGGCAGCAAATCTCCTTAAATCTTGGGAAGCGTCTGAAAGGTTGAGCCTCTCGAGCCTCACCTCTTCTTCACCTCGCTGAATTGAGCAGTCAGGAAGGCTTTCGAGCCTTCTGCACTCCATATCTTCCTCGGTTGGGTGGGTTGAGGAGTCCTCACAGGTTACAAGCCCGTTTATCGTGATTGCCGTTGTTGGCTGGGTCGGTCTATCAAGGAGAGACAGCTCGGTGGAGATGAGGTGTGTAGTCATCTCGTATGGTATAGTTGCAGGGACGGGATAGATAGTTTCGATTGGAAATTCGAAATTTGTGGATAGTTCGATATCTAGTTGGTGACACTGATGAGACGACTGGTCCGTATGGTACAAGTTCGGGGATAGACGAGATCGTTTCGATGGGATGTACGAAGACGAAGTGCCAAAGATGAGAGTGGTTAATAGACGATACCGAAGAGGAGATTTTGAACGTCGTGAAACAGACTGTATAATGGATGATTTCTATGGTAGTCCCAATACAAGATCAGATCCAATTGCAAAGCAAAGTTTCAATGTGGTGATGTGAAGAAAGAATAAGGATGAGAAGTATCTCCTTCTTTAATTGCAATGGTACATGTATTTTGAGTACAAATTGTTATTATGGATGTAGGATCCAAAGATTCAATGAATTGATTGATAGTCAAGTTAAATATGAAGTTGTGGGTTTGAGACGATGGAATTGGGAAAAAGAAGTTTCTTAGGAGAAATCTTTGGATGATGCAGTTTTTTGTTTTTTTGCCACTGGACTAGTTTTTCTGGCAAGATCCTATGCTTTAAGTTCACCTAGCATTAGCTGGATTTGAGTTTATTTCCGTTTGTCGTCTTCTAAGAATCATAAAGTTTAACTAATGCGATAGTTCGTAGCTAGGCAGGAGCGATACTGAGCTCAGTGATAGCATAGCGCTCTTCCATTCCTCTGTGACATCATTAAATATAAAACCTTTTGCTTCTTCTCTGCGCCGACGAGACCGCTTACTTAGAACAAGCTAATATGATGCACTGGATATATCGTAATGAGCTACGAGCATTAATTCTGCTTCATCATTCTCAAAATTTATTCGTAGCAGGGTGAAAAAAAGCAAGCGTCGTCGGCATTTGGAAATGTTTTCGCTTAATTATTTCGTTGGCGGGATACTCTGGGGTGAGTTGACGCGACGAGGCGTCGATAGTAGTGATTTCGCGGACTACAAGATTTTATTTCTCGGGCCTGGATTAATTTTATCTTCGCAAAAAATTTAGACGTTGGCATCGGATTAATCTGTATGATTTTGTATGATTTGATATATTCAGCAGATATTGACAATCTCGAATAACTCTAGAGCTTGAAGAAATCTAGGATCTCGAAAATCGATATGATGCTTCATGTACAGGTAACTCTAAACTCCTCCTTCCATATATCATCAGATAAATATAGATACTCAAAAATCTACAGAGTATAAAACATCACCTAATATTCATGCTAAGTAAATCCATCGCTATTAGAATAAAGTTAGTATGAAAATCCTATTTTTCTAAGGCTATATCATTATACTATCGTCCGCTTGATTGTTAAATTCTCATTTTAGTTCTTTAGAGTATACTTAACCGTGCTTTAGATTGGAAATTTTCCTTGCTACAGTTTATGAGCAACAGTTTTAACAGTCTATTTCTCTCGTCTTTCTCACTTTCGCCTTCTATGTTTGGTATCGTGTGTAGATAAGACCTATAAAAAATTTAGCATTATTCTAATTTCCATTTACATTTCAATCAAGGAGTTGAGATGGGTTATATAACCGGAGTTTTCGCAGAAGAAACAATCAATCGGGCAATATCTTGAACTGCCCTTGCCTCGTGCCTATCCTAGATCTTTCGGCGAGCTTTCTTGAATATTTTATTGCGAAACAGAGAATCTTTACTTGTTATCTCTTCTGTCTCTAGTAATATTAACGTTTGGCGCTTTTTGAACCAATCGGGCTGAAACCATTAAGTCTGATGTGGTTCAAGGGTAAAAGTTTGTATAGACACATAAGTACCTCGCAACTCAAGGTGTTGAACGGAAAGTTCGTTAATTAGAATATAACTTCTATTCTTGGTACCTATGGACTTTATACGAGTCAGGTCGACACGTGACTGATATGAATAGTGATTGGCAGTACAATACGACTCAGCCACCTACATCTCCTATCACAAAAAACTTTCCAACGACTCAAACATATTGCGATGTGCACATTGCAACTTTGCCTATAACTATGGCTACGCTGATATCAAATCTCTTACTAACCTTCCTGAAGATATCACAACGTTGATCTTCGCCGAGATTCTCGACGCTATCGGCTTGTGGAAAGCTCTCTGTTTGCGAGTAGTTTGCAGTACGTTCCCAATCCCCGTGCTTTGGCAACCATACTACTTAGTGGCAAGGCTCTTCAATGACAGCAGTTACAAAAGCAACTTACCATGACTACCAAACCAGCCCTTATGGACCCATCAATAATGCACTTGAGGTATGTCTTAAGTATCCTCCAAGCAAGTTGCCTCGCATCGTTCCGCTTTTCATACACATAGAGATGAAGCGTAATCCGGAGCAAGCGGTTCTCGCATCATACATCAAGCATTACAAGCTACAAGATATCGTCGAAGCCACAGTGATGAGGCCGAAACAGAGTGTGAAATTGCTGTTTGCGAAGCTGCCGAGGAACGCTTGTGGTGGGGCACAGATAGAGATCTAAATGGTAGAAGAAATATAAATCTATGTGCACCAAGGCCAACACAATCTTCCACCTCATCTCAAACTACTGTTATTGAAAGAGATTTTGTTGATGCCAGTTAACTCGCAGAGATACAAAATACCCTGAGCGTGGCCATCATTGCTGACGATGTTGCTTTCATAGAAGACTTGTTTGAAATTTAGGATTTAGATGCTGATTATGACAATCAGTTTTTCGGGCGACCGTTGCATCTCGGAGCAGCATATGGACGAACCCACATGATTCAGATTCTTCTCCAAAATGGTGCTGACTTGAATGCAATTTAACTATACTACGGCCCGAATTGGCCACCAAAGTATATGCTAGAAAAGGAAAAGTTCATCTGCTCTTCTGGAAGCGCCTACGTGTTGCTGCGTTTAATGATCATCTTGAGTTCATAAAAGTCCCTGTAAAGCCGCGTTTTAATTTAGCATTTCCACTTCCAGGTGAAGAGCTTCGAAATTATTCGCACCGCAGCTAGATATGGAAATTTGTCTCTTGTTTCGTTTCTTATGGATGTGTATTGCGAATCAGGACCACTGCGGTCGAGGATCCAAGAGGAGGTCTTGTTGCAAGCTGCATACTCAGGGCGGGAAGAATTAGTTGAGTCGATGATTGCAACTGGTGTTAGCGTCAATTGTGTTACATCACGCGAAACTCTTACCATGCCGGGTTGGTCTCCGATACACTGTGCAGCCTACAAAGGACGTGCAAGCATCATTCGCATTTTACTTTCACACGGCGCTGGTCGAGACCGATGGAATCCCCAAATAATGATTAGGGGCTCGTTCACTGCTATAGGCCATGCAGTCTCCAGAGGCCATGAAGAGATTGTTCGGATTCTCGTAGATGATGCTGCATTGCTACTATCCTGTAATAGCAGCAAAACAGATCCAATAACCATTATCGCATATGCCCATCATCACCACATCATGCGTTTTCTCCTCGCAGAAGCCGCGCATCACAATGAGACAAATAATTGGGCTGATAAGAGGTGTAAACAAGCGTTTCGTCATGCTATTTGGAACCGGTGATCTAGAAATGGTACGGCTCTTAGTTGAAGCTGGCTATTCTATCACCAATAAGATCAGCGCGAGTGAAGGTCTAGTTCTTTACGCAATGAAGTACAGATGGACACACATAGTAAAGTTTTTTATCGATGCAGGTGGTGAAGAGATTGATCCTTGGGACCTAGAAACATTTGCATCTGATGATTTCAGAAGTGGACATTATCCTTTTTTGAAAACGAAAACACCAGAACGGCTTTGGCATGTTCAGGGAAAATACTAGCTGATAGCTATTTCTAGTTGCCGGAAAGTTTTCAGTGGTAGCTGAGGTCTTTTTTGATAGGAGACTTATGTAAATAGTAGCATTTTTCATAACTCAGAATCTTACTGCTCTTTTATGGTCAACATCTCTTTTTACTTTCTCGAATATCCAATATTAATAAAATCAGATATCATACCACATAGTACTGGACGTAAATGAGTTAATGACGCCTCACTGGTTTTCTTTCAATATATCAAAAAAATAGTAGTGAGGTTATATACTTTGATACAAAAGTCCACCTTAAACCACAAATATGGTAGAATTGCATTGAATATCAGTAAATCAGTATATGACAAGTTGTCTTTCATAATATGGTAGGTACTCCTAATACTGGGTTTCACACTCTGTGATAAACTAAGATTACGATATCTAACTTCTGAATTATTTGCCACATTAGCTGTATATTCACATATATATTCTTGAATTTTTGAAAGTTTCCGGCGCCACCACTGTGTACGTTTCTTGGATGTTCAGGAACATCTGGTAATCTTACAAGAGCACCATAAGTTTTCTGAATGGACAAAAATAGCTGTAGATATCTTTTGGATCAAAAAATAAAAATAAAACCATCCGTCTAAATTACTATTCAATTCACATACAAAAAGCCAGAAGGGCTTTTCTACCATGTGAGAGATTGATTGATTATGCTAGTAGTAATCTTACAATTCGTGATGATCAAAAGTGGAATTTCGTACCGAACCTTCCTATTTGCCGATTTTCAAAACCATATACCAACAAGCTCCATCGATCATAACCTCTTCCACATTTTCACATTTCTTATGAGCATATGTCAAGATTTGCGTAACTTTTTTACCCCCAAAGCACTATCATAGTCTTTCAGCATGTATGTCGTAGATCTTCCGTTATCCGTTCCTAGGAGACTCAGAGAGTTCTCTTCTCTATCGAGATCGTTAGGATCCATGGCGAAATCACCTTTTCCCAAATCTATACTTAGACCCCGTCTTTGGTAGGTGTCCTGAAGCAGCTTTCAGGCTCCATCATTCTGGACATTTTTCCGCACAACCGTGTTTAATTTTCCAACTTTGTTGCTAACAAAGTGCTGCCATGATTGGAAGGTTATGTCGATGGTTTGAGTCTTCTAGGATCGCTCTTGGGCAAGAGATCATTTGCTGCTACCGCATCTTCGACCACAATCGTTCCTGTTTCCTTGTTGTATCCGCCATAATTGTCGATACTATTTTTATCTGTCGGAACTTTGGTGTATCAATCTAAACGTTAATTAGTATTAGTTGCAAGGTTAAGATATTTAGAGTAGTAGGGAGAGAAGCATCTAAATGTATAAATCGAGATATAAATTCGGGTAGAATAAGGTCAAGAAAGGAAAAGAGTTGCTGCATACTCATCCTAGTGAAACTGATCCTTCTGGAAGAATCTCTGTGAGATCGTCGTACACATGGTTTGTGTCTGTTATATCGTTCTTTGTTAGAAGGCGGTCATCGCTAACCAATACATACACGTCTTTTACGTTGGCAACTGAACCATCTCCTAAAATCACAAATATATCACAATTAGTGATGTATTTACAAAAAGCTCGAAAATATCTACGCGGTGTCTCTTTGCAAAGAAAAATATATGTGTTTCTAGGGAAAGAGTATCAAGTAAAATCCACTCACCAGGCGCTAGGAGTGTTTCCTCAGACTTGATCGTTTTATCATTATCTTTTACTGCTATATTACTTGCCAAACCCTTTCGCACCGTCCGCCCACGAGCTATATACTGATCCTTCGTCAAGATTCTTCCAGAAGTATCGGCTGTTTCCTGCCTAGGCCTGACAATAGGCTCCGCATCCAGGCTTGCTGGATCTTTTGGGTTGGGTTTCGGTTCCTTGAGTGTCCCTATCGGTTTGGGCTTGATCTTTGGGACCCCGCCACGTGGAAGGTGAATCCTGGAATGGACAGGTATGAGGATATCCGGCTGCTGAGGAAGGGTTCTGTCTACCGCTTCTTGTAGACCGATGGCTATAAGAAGATGGTGGTTTGAGCGGAAAGACGCATGGTGCTTTTTTGAATGAATTGGAGACAGTGAAGAAAGAGTATTTATTGCCTTTGGTGGTGTACTCTACACAAAGTATCAAGTGGTATTGACTCAAAAGAAAGTGGATAAAAAGTCGAAATGAACGAGTGGCCAGGTGTTCCTAGGAAGTAACCAACAAACTAAATGAAATGGGCTGGAGCGCTTGTAAAGTAGTAAGATTACTTTGTTGGCAATATCTGAATGCATTATATACACGGAGCCTCTCCTACACCAACATGATCATATGAGAAGCCACATTTAAATATAGCCTGATCAATCTTTCGTTTCAGTATTATCGACTTGCTGCCAAAATACATACGGAATTAGGAAATCTAATCCTTTTGCGTTTGGTCCCCTGGGGAGAACTCCTTTTTTGCTGCGAAGGATTTGAATATCGACCGCTGTGTTCTTGGCGAGAGCCGAGATTTTTTTTGGCCATATGCATTTGAACGGCAATGCAAGATTTTATTGCGGCATAATATCTTATAATGCAACACAACTCTTCGTTAACATCCTCCAATACCTAGCCAAACAAATGGCAATCAGGGCTATGCAAATGTAACATCAAAATCGTTTTCTGAGAGGAATTTAGTATCTTGTATACTAGAAAAATGCCAACTAATTACTACTATTCTAGACACTTTAAACATTTAGGGCCATTAAAATAATTATCATATTTGAAATAAACAATCCAAACTCCGAAAGAAACTTGCAAAGCTGATGTATTTGGAACTTTAGATTTACTATATATACCTTGAGATACCAGTTATACAGCTCATCTAATTAACGAAAGACCAAAAATCAAAGGTATGAAGGAATATATGTACCTAGTATTACCAACATCACAAAAACAGAACAAAACCTTAAGAGTGTGGAAATTTCGCCCAGCTAATTACATGTCTACGTACAAAAAAGATTCCACCCACAAGCCCAGAAATATCTTGAGTTATCTGAAAGCTAGCCCTTAGCAATTATAAAAGAAACTAGTATTCTATATATCTAGAAATTAAACGTATATAAATAAACCCAGAATCCTAGAATATAATTATATCAAACCCCAACCACAGATCCTCTTTCAACAGTCGACTCGGACTTTCTTTCCCTTTTTTTCGCAGCTGGGTCAGTATCCGTCCGTTACATTTCCTTGGCTTGTTTGTTCCAATAACTTTCAAGTAATTATCTCAAATATAATTCCGCACTATCACTATTCTGAAAATTATAATATATGATTAAAACTACAGATATAATACCAAGGTGAAACATCCACTCCTCTAAAACTCCAGACACCACCACACCTACAATAAAAATGCTTTCCACAAGAGAAAAATTTATACTTTCCCCCTACAATTCCATCTCCATTCCATTGCAATCTAAGAATTTCCGCGAACATAATACCGCGAACATTGGAACTAGTCAACTCTGTTAAATTTTATCATTGGCTAGTTCTTCACTTCCTTCACAACTAAGTAGGTAGATCTTAACCTCGTACGATAGTGTTTTCCCATCTATTCTATTGATATGCATATGGATGATTTGGAAATCATCGGTGCAGGCAGGAAGTCGGCGGGCGGTTTAGACTGCAGTGCTGATTGAATGGCGCTGCGTATTTAGATTCGCTTCTTGCTTCGTCTTCGCTGCCTAGTAGATAGAATCTTGAGCTTAGATTGGGAATAATTGCGCGAGTAAGTCGGTCATGCAGGAATTTGATAGTGCGTCGTTGTATATTCCGGATCTATCTGGATTTGCGAGCAGTATCGGGAAAAGACAAGCTAGCGGAGACTCGGTCGAAGAATGGAGCGCAGCTGTGGTATACGTAGGGAGTGGCTATGGATGTCGAGTTTGAAATGGTGGAAGGAGTATCGTGGAAATTGTCTCGGTCGAGAGATACGAGCGAATTGTTGCATTGGTCATGAATTACTTGGGTTCTCAAAGTCCAATTGAGTGGAGAAGATGCGAGGGAAGTGTTGAAAGAGGTAGTTCCGAGGTGAGAAAGAGTGGTCTTGCCGACAGGGCAGGTGGAAGTCTTGTGATACTTATTATGTTACATAATATTCATTTATGAATATATCATCACTTACTTACTCACTCACCCCCTCACATACAAATTCAAAAATCAAGCTCAGAAAATAAATCAAAGTCAAATATCTCACTATCTATCTAAAAGCCCACACAAGTGTATCTATTCACCATCAATATATGCACATATCAAACACTTTATGTAGGTAGATACGCATCATAATATTTCTTCCCAAAGCCAAAAACGCCAGCTACTTTAACCCTATGTATTGCGCGGCCCCTTCAAAAAAAAGAGAAGGGGGTTTGTGCGCAAGAAGAAGAAGAAGAAGAAAAGATGAAGATGAAGAAATGTGAAAGATCCACCAGGTAGGTATCAATCATCTTGCATCACGTCCCATTTACCCCAATCATCCATCAGAAAAAACTAGTAACCTAGCACTTAACACCCGTACCAGTCTCCTTGAACATAGCAATCGTAGCAGCAAAAGTGTTACGGTTATCTTTATCCAAAGCACCACTCTTTCCATCCACAGTGACCATATTCTCAACACCAATAGTTGACAAGCCAACGATATGAATATTGCCCGAACCTTCAATCGAAAGCATGTTACTTTGGCAATTTCCCGTCGATAAACAATTTTGACCGTAGTTGTCGAAGAAAGAGTATAGACCGGCGCCGGCGACGAAGATATCCTCAGAATTAACGATGCGGAGACCCCATGATTTGTCGGCGAGCGTTCCACCGGTAAAAGAAGGATCATTGTAATTTTGGTTGGTAGTGAAAGGTGCAGAGGCGTCGGGATTGGCTTGAAAGTATGGAGTTTCGGTTTGGATAGCCCCCATGAAGATGTTGGATGCGTTAGTCAACTGATAGTTGTAAAGAACATTGTGTTCACTGGCGGTACCATACATCCAGGCAGGCCCTTCTTCAGAAGCGACTAAAACTCCTCGGCCACTGTAAATGTCAATTTGATTATGATCACCGAGATCAAGTTCATGATCAGCAACCCAAAACCAAGTATTCTCAAGGTAGATTGAAGCTTGTTCGGTGACGTGTAGAAGCATGAAAGCTCCAATACAGGCTGTATTTCCAGTATATGTTGCGTTTGGATTTTTGGCGCAGGTGTTAGACTGAAGTTGAGTACCAGCACTACCTCCAATTCTTGTATGAACATCCCACATTCCAACTGAACCTTGCGAAGCCTCTTTGACATTCCATTCAACGAGGATAGCGCCGGCGGCTGGTCCGATGGTTTGGAAAACCATATCGGAAATCTCGACAGAGCCAGTATCACCAGGTTGACCAACTTGAAAGACTGCCTTTGGGTTGCTTTGATCATTGAATCCCTTCGCCATGATCATAGGCCAGATCTCACCAGTAATCTTGATGTTCTTTGGAACCTTGATGGTATCAGTGACAACATATCCACCATGATCAAAGTAAACAATCTGATCAGTGGTAGCCTTGTCGAAAATTGCTTGAATGGCAGCAGTATCATCAGTAACACCATCACCTTTAGCTCCATTAGATTTGACACTCAAAAATGATGAGGCTGGTAAAGTCTCGTATTGTGGTTTGGTGCGTCCGAATAATTTGCCAGTAGAATCCAAGAGAGTTGCAGGTTTGGTGACGACATCTTGAGTTCCTTGCGTAGCTTGGCCAGCATTAACACCAGTATAGACCTTTCCTTGTGCCCAGGATGCGATCTTGGTGTTTCCTGCAAGAATGGTGGACTTGGCAGTGGCATCGTAGACGGCGACTGGAACATTTGAGGAGAAGTCGACATTATCGATAACAAGAGTACCGTTGGTTCCAGCTTCTTTGATATCGTAAACAGTAGATATGCCGATGGGAGTATTTGTGATTGTGCTGTCCATAATTGTGGCTGATCCAGCTGCGCGGCTTGCTGCACCGCCTGCCGACATGTCAAGTCCAATACCACAGTTGTTGATCTTAAGGTTCTGAAATGTCCAGAGCCAGGCCCAGTTCAAATAGATAGCCGTTTGACAGTTGTTGAAGGTTAAATTTCGGGAAGTAAACTGTTGGCTGCCCAAGAAAGCACCATATTTGCCACCATTGAATGTCAAGTCGGCCATGAAACCACCACTACCATTATCCATGAAGATGCCCTGTTGTTTGTTGTCGGTTCCACCATCAGTCCTCATGTTAAAAACAATGTTTTGTAATGATGTAGCTTGAGCAACTTGCCAATGAATACCGCTACCAGTTGAGATAGGCATGGCAGTCATATCGATGACAAAGTTCCTAATTTGACGGTAGAAGTTGTTCCTAAAAGGTCATTAGTATCCACGTTATCAAGATCATTGCATGAATGGAACTCACTGGTTGGTGAACCAATTGTATTGAGGATCATATGGGTTTGCATCGAGCAAAGCCATACCAGCAAAGTTGGCAAGACCTTTAATTGTTGGGAGAGTAATAGCATCACCAACGAGTTGCGTGAAATACTGTTGTCTGATGGGGGTTGAGATGGCATATGTTCCAGGTCTGTGATTAAGTTAGTGATATACCGTGGAAGCAATAATGGAGAGGAGTAAAATGTGCAGATAAAATAGGTAGTTTCAGGAACTTAAGGTACATGAACTTACGGGAAGTAAACAAGAGCAGGAGTAAGGGTGGTTGAATCGCAGCCTTTACCACAGCGATTACCAGCAGAAATTGCAGCATTGATAGCAGCGGTATCATCAGTTACACCTTGATTGTGAGTGTAAGTTTAATACTATCTGTATGGAGAAGGGTTAAATTACCATCACCAACAGCACCAAAGTCCTTAACATTTCGGAAAATTTGATATGAAGCATCACCATAAGCGGGAGCACCTTGTCGTTGAATCTGATAAGGTTAGAGATGAGAGAAAAGAGAAAAGGATGATTAACTTACTGTGGCGATCCAATAATTGCTGGAAGCCGACGTTGCTGAAGTCGCTGCATCAGACGGATAGGGAGCAGGTGCACCAGAAACGGTGAGAAAGAAGCGTAGAGCCAATAAAATAGAAATAAAAGAGAAGGTAGCCATCGTGAAGTAGAACCAGCTGCTGCGAGATGTTTTGTTTGTAAAAGAATGTGGATCCTGCCAGAGGGAAAGTTGTATCAGTATTTGTATTTTGTTTGCTGTGTGGTTGTGGTGAAGAAGTAAAAGATTCTTCTTCCTCGTTTGCTTCTCGTTACTTTTGTAGGGAGTAGCGATGGTTCAACTTGATACCAGCATCAACTAGTAAGATTAACTTTGTTGAGAAAATCTCCAGGAAATTTCAGAAGAAAATTTGAAGCAGAGGATGAAATTTAAAAGGAGAATGGTTTAATGGAAGTAGGATTGGGTGGTTAATTGTATGTTATTGTGACCTTCGCCTAGAAAGGAACAATAGGATTAAGCGGCGTGACTGTAATTTTCCATGAGGGTGAATCGGATTTCTGAAGCTATTCAAGTCATACGATCACATTCCGTGACCCAAACACAATCAAACAACCAGATGAACAAACCACCCGACACTTTGGCCAACCATCAAACAAGATGAAAAAGAGAAATTAGCAGATCTATGCCGAGGGAGTACTCACAACGGTCGAATTACGTCGTCGATAAAAAGAAAAGGGTTTGAAGAAAGGAATGTATGGCCCGCCAAAAGCTGTAAACTGATAATGATGAGAATTCTCTCCATAGTGGCGGTCCTTGATCTTTATATCTACGCGGTCCAAATTCTTCATTTCATCTGGTCCATCATCCCACACCTCAAACAAATCATCATGGGCACAAAGAGAGGCTTCCTTGGTATTTTCTCCATATTGTCCAAGCGGTGTGCTAATCAGATGGCTCATGATTTGAAGTGAAGCTCTCAAATCCAATTAGAGAGAGATATATATATCCCGGTGCTTCAGTCTCCCGTGTGCTTAAGGTGGTAATTAAGTGGCGAGTGCCTCGGAAAGGAGATACTATCGCTCTGATTGGGAAGGGACACCCGAGGCCCTTTACTTTGGGGTGAATTGATTCGACGTTGCTGCTGTATTCTGTTTGTTCAACCCAGTTTGTTTGTCGCTGCTTCAGGGGCGCAACTAGTGGCTCCTCGATGAGTCGTTAATAGGATCTGGATAAGTTAAGGATGCTTGGATATCCCCATGTCAATCACATCCCGCGGCAGTGCTCAGAGTGCAGAGGGTCAAAGACTGAGGGCAAGTAGAGAAGAGTTGAAACTTGGTGTTTTTGTATTATAGGTTGTTGGGAGGACGTGATTGGTGTTTCGGAGATTTGTTGTGGCGGCTGATAGTATCTAAGCTAGGTAGGTATCCTTGGATATTTCTGACCTCCGACATTGGACCACAAGTCTTCACGCGCGGGAACAATCTGAAAATAATATGGGGAAAGGGTAAAGGGACGAGTGTCATCGCATAAACGCGTCGTAGATCATTCCCCTTCTTTTTAATATAAAAAATTAATTACTCCTAGTCACATCCTTCCTTTCTATTTTCCGTAGTCGGACAAGCACAGCGTGCAGTGGACATCCGACAGAATCTCATCCCATCAACGGCAGTTGTGACGAAGTACTGTAACCCTACAGCGTATGTGCCGCTGTCCCCAGGCTGATTAATTCGTGCATTTGTTTCCTACACCGTCAGACAGCCTGCAGCTTATCAAAGCTCCAGCTGTTAGACATTAAATTGCAGCTCAATATATGCGCACAATCAATAAATGCATCTCGGTTTGTTTCAAGTCAAAATCCTGCTCACAGCGTTCCTGGCTAATAATTATTGGATGTTTCATGGTGCTATAAAAGGCGCGTTTGTGAAACGTGGACTGTAGCAGGATCTTTGTTTGGATGAACCTTGGGGGGCTTTCTCCACCCCCTATATATCTACAGATATAGCTATCGTTAAAACTATTGTGTCGGCTCCAGAGTAGAGATTTTCCCAAAAGTCACTCGGGGGAATTTGATTGATACCACGTGATTGGTTGCTTTTCCGAGGTTGAATTGTACGGAGTATATCATGAAGAAGCACCACATAAGTCGCTGCTAGTGATTGACCTAAGAATTAATTTCTCTCTTTCGTTAGAACTTGACTTCCTTTTTTCTGATTGCTTGATTGTACGATTTCCAAAGCCGGCTTGTTCTTGCCATCATACTTTCAGTCCTCCACCCACAGTCTTCAAGTTTGTTTCTTTCGTAGTTTGACAGTTGGCCAAAGCGTATGCAATTCTACTATGGCATTTCGGTTTGGACTAGACCACTTTGAATTGCAATAAAATAGGAATATCGATAGGTGAGTACAGTGTAGATATTTTGATTGACCAACCGGCAACTCATTGGGCTCTCCGCTTCCTTGGAATGAAATATACACTGTCAAGACATCCTATTCTACCTTTCTTGCCGTGTATGCCATCAGGCCATCTACAATACAACCGAAAGTGCATATTCACTTTCATGGCAATCTAAGGAGAATGCACTCGGCAGAGGTTTTCAATGACCGAGCTGATCTATCTTTCATGGACATCTAGATTTGATGGTATTAATAAGGCTTTTAACAGAAACAAGCCATTGTACCGTATCATATTCTTCGCAGAAATTTAACTATCGAGGAGCTAGATCATGCCATTTTTTGGTAGGGAGGGATTATAATTATTCCTCTACGCTCTGGAAAGATTGGGTATGAACAGACTCAGGTAGGTAAGTATACACACAGCATATATGTACCTAGTAGATGTTGTATCTAGGAGAGAATATCAATTAACGATTGCCTCATCTGTAGTAGTTATCATGACTCCTCGAGGCTCCGAATCTCCTAGCCATGAAACTTAATTAACTTGGGCATCATGAAATTTGATATTATCTAGAGCAATGATAGAGCCATTGCTATTTGAAAAATAACCCCATTATCCCGCCAAGCCATAACCCTTATACCTTACTTTTGGACAAGGCTAGCATTTCTTCAGTGGTACTCAAAACCTATTCTCGCCCAAATGCCTGAGAGAAATAAAGTTGAAAATGTACCACTTACCGCCCTGCATTGACCATTGTAAGGCTGGATTGGATAGAAGCATCTCGAATCGAAAACTCAATGGGGCTTTCTGAGTAATAATAGAATCGAAGGAAAGGAGCTGTAAACAAAAAAACAAAAACAAAAACAAAAGGAAGAAAGAAAGAAAATATCCAGTACATTCTACAACTTACTAGGAACTTCCAATGCACGTGGTCATCAGCCTCAGAAGCAAGCCTTAATTCTAAAGTGTGAAAGCGGGAGAACTGTTTAAGTGTTTCCCCGCTGATAAGATGAGCCACTGCGATAAACAAATATGGAGGGGAAGGCAAAAAGTGAAGAAAATTAGAAAATGTGAATATATGAAAATAAGATTAGTAATTTGATTGAAAGATACTATGCCAATCCAAAGTGTAAAAGGAAATATAATTATTACAATTTACTCGAGTAAACCTTCAGTGTAGTATTGATTGTTTGCATTCAGCTAAATAGAATAATTCTAAAAAGTTCCATATACAACATCGTCTGTATTGCCTTGTACTGTTTTCCTTGCTTTGATTGGCTTATTCAGTAGTGGCGCGTTGCTAGGTGGTCTAAAAAAGGCTAAGCGACGAAGAAGTTCCTTACAATTCTACCATTTTCTACAGCGAAGCCTTCCATAAAATCCCATTGATCTCCAACGAAATTCCAAATCTCTTTTCTTCTCCAGACCATTCTAAGATACCCTTTCTTTCAACTTTTGTCTATTAGACTGAGATACTTCATCATAATCTTAACGACTTAATCAACTCTTCGAATGTAAGTTACAATCGACAATATCATTTGCGTTTAAAGCACCTTTCGATCTAGTATCAGAAACCTTTTGGGAGCTCAGCCTCGAGGAAAAAAAGAGCTTCGACCTCATTTGAAACCTGGCTGTATTCTACGAGCGTTGCTTACAAGATCAAGCTTGTACAGCTTCATTTTCATTAAAAAAGACTTTGCTAACATACAATCCTTCTATAGTTTCTCCAATTGCACATTGTCAAATCACAAATATGGCTGGCGAAACTTTTGAGTTCCAGGCTGAGATTTCTCAGTTGCTCTCTCTCATCATTAACACAGTCTACTCAAACAAGGAGATCTTCTTAAGAGAACTTGTTTCCAACTGTTCCGATGCTCTCGACAAGATTCGTTACGAGGCTCTCTCAGATCCCTCCAAGCTCGACAGCGGCAAAGATCTCCGCATCGACATTATCCCCGACAAGGAGAACAAGACCCTTACCATCCGCGATACCGGTATTGGTATGACCAAGGCTGTAAGTATCTTCACAGCTGAACACCCAAGATAATCTGCTAACAAATGCTTAGGATCTCGTCAACAACCTCGGTACGATTGCACGATCTGGTACCAAGCAATTTATGGAGGCCCTCACCGCAGGTGCTGATATCTCTATGATTGGTCAATTCGGTGTTGGTTTCTACTCCGCCTACCTTGTTGCAGACAGAGTTACTGTCGTCTCGAAAAACAACGATGATGAACAATACATTTGGGAATCCAGTGCCGGAGGAACTTTCACCCTTACTCACGATTCTGAGGGTGAGCAACTCGGCCGTGGTACCAAGATCATTCTTCACTTGAAGGACGAGCAATTGGATTACCTAAACGAGTCAAAGATCAAGGAGGTCATCAAGAAGCACTCTGAGTTCATCTCCTACCCAATCTATCTCCACGTCTCCAAGGAGACTGAGACTGAAGTTCCAGATGAGGAGGCCGAGGAAACCAAGGAGGAGGATGATGAGAAGAAGGCCAAGATTGAGGAGGTCGATGACGAGGAGGAGAAGAAGCCAAAGACCAAGAAGGTCAAGGAGACCAAGATCGAGGAGGAAGAACTCAACAAGCAAAAGCCAATCTGGACCAGAAATCCTGCCGACATCACCCCAGAAGAGTACGGTTCATTCTACAAGTCCCTCTCCAACGACTGGGAAGATCACTTGGCCGTCAAGCACTTCTCTGTTGAGGGTCAACTCGAATTCCGTGCCATCCTTTTCGTCCCAAAACGTGCTCCGTTCGATCTCTTCGAGACCAAGAAGACCAAGAACAACATCAAGCTTTACGTTCGTCGTGTCTTCATCACTGATGATGCCACTGATCTCATCCCTGAATGGTTGAGCTTCGTTAAGGGTGTTGTTGACTCTGAAGATCTCCCACTTAACTTGTCTCGTGAAACTCTTCAACAAAACAAGATCATGAAGGTCATCAAGAAGAACATTGTCAAGAAGGTTCTTGAGCTCTTCCAAGAGATCTCCGAGGACAAGGAGCAGTTCGACAAGTTCTACTCTGCTTTCTCCAAGAACATCAAGCTCGGTATCCACGAGGATTCCCAAAACAGAGCAGCTCTTGCCAAGCTCCTCAGATTCAGCTCCACCAAGTCTGGTGATGACATCACCTCCCTCTCTGACTATGTTACCCGTATGCCAGAGCACCAAAAGAACCTCTACTACATCACTGGCGAGTCCCTCAAGGCTGTTCAAAAGTCACCATTCCTTGACTCCCTCAAGGCAAAGAACTTTGAAGTCCTCTTCTTGGTTGACCCCATTGATGAGTACGCCATGACCCAACTCAAGGAGTTCGAGGGTAAGAAGCTTGTTGATATCACCAAGGACTTCGAGCTCGAGGAGACCGATGAGGAAAAGAAGACTCGTGAGGAAGAAGAGAAGGAATTTGAGAGTCTTGCAAAGGCTCTCAAGAACGTTCTCGGTGACAACGTTGAGAAGGTTGTTGTCAGCCACAAGCTTGTCAATGCTCCTTGTGCTATTCGCACCGGTCAGTTTGGTTGGTCTGCTAACATGGAGCGTATCATGAAGGCACAAGCTCTCCGCGATACCTCTATGTCATCATACATGTCTTCTAAGAAGACTTTCGAAATCTCTCCTAAATCACCAATCATCAAGGAGTTGAAGAAGAAGGTTGAGGCTGATGGTGAGAATGATCGTACTGTTAAGTCGATTACTCAACTCTTGTTTGAGACTTCCCTTCTCGTTTCTGGTTTCACCATCGAGGAGCCAGCTGGATTTGCTGAGCGTATTCACAAGCTTGTCTCACTCGGATTGAATGTTGAGGAGGAGCCAGAAACTACCGAAGAGGCCGCCGCCACTGAGGCAACTTCGGATGCACCAGTTGAGAGTGCTATGGAGGAGGTTGACTAAATTCAAAAAGTGGCTGGGTTTTCGGGATAGTGGAGTTTTAATGGTTGGGTTTTCGGACATGCATGAGCCTGCTTACTATTTCTCTTTTGATGCTCTTTTTTTCCCCCGCACATGGTTTTAATACATGAGGCATAATCTTAAAAAAGTACTTTGTGATAAACATTGCGCGTTAAGATAAAGAGGAAAGAGATAGCAGAATACAAAATATTTAGTGTAACATTTGTGTGTTCAGTTGATGTGCTGTGGAGTGACAATAAATTTCTTCATTCTATCGGAGTAAAAATCAATATTCCCATTTCATGTATCAGTGATCATTGGATTCTCTGAGATTTTCTGATTTTGCACAAGTGTATCAAAAATCCTTTCTGTGTTGAGGAGAGGATCCACTCGGACCGGATATGGTGTCTTAAGGTTTCGAGGCGTTCCTGAACAGTTACACATGTAAGTTACATATGCACGACATGACATCTAGAAATTACTGGGACTCTTTGATCTGTACGACAGAAAACATGCTCATCATCTGCTCTTTCCAGTCTGTTGGGTAGAACATGATTAACATCATGACTTTCTTTCCAATAGAATGGCTTGTCTCGGAGACTAATTGAATTGTAATCTGCATTGAGTCGATTACGAATGGACTAGATGGACGAATGGGACTGTTTGCACTTTCCTTGGTGATGCTCTCGTAGTAATCTACTCGTTTATCTCCGTCAAAATTGGTGCGGAGGGATACATTATGATCATGGGAGTTCGTCATCCCGGGGACTGAAAAGGTGTTCTTGCCTTTAATTATAATGTTGAATATTGGGAAACGTCGATTGGTTTTCGGATACGGCATAGTTAGCTTCAAATCGTTTGTTGGTTGTGCTATGGATTGGTGTGATGGTATTGAATGGGGAAGGTACGATAGGTTCAGTTGTACGCTTTTGATCAACGATATCTACCTTGATGGACGAGAAACAAACTCAATTGAATTATGAGGGGGTATAAATGGTTGATGTTCCCTTGATTTTGTTCTTGGAATTTTCTTTCTTTACATCACACACATACATTGAGCTTTTACTTCTTTTTGCTCCTCGCTTTTTATACAGTACTACAGTACTACTCTACTGCAATACAACACACCACAACACAATACATTCGCTGTTTACAATCCATTTGAATCTCAACTTATTTCTCACTCTCAATTTAATTCAATTTCCTCAATCACCAATCAATCCCTACCTCACTAACTTACGCATTTCACCAAAGTCTCACATATTCAACCGCAAAAATGCACAACAAACTCCTCTTAACAACCTTCGTCCTCCTCCCCACCATCTACGCAGCTCCAGCACCTGCCTCAGATACAGAAAATTATTCTCCCAACTATTCTCCTCCATCCATCTCCATCCCATCCCTTCCCTTTCCCCCCACTCCAAGTGTTCCAGCCACCGGAGGAAATGGTGGCGGCGCTCTTGCGGGACTAGGTAGTCTTGGAGGCCTTTTGGGTGGACTTCTTGGTGGACTTGGACTTGGTGGTGGTGGCGGAGGGGCTTCTGCTCCCGCTCCTTCTGTGCCAGTTCCTGCTGCGCCAAGTGTACCATCGTTGCCTACTAGTAGCTATATTCCTGTGCCTGTTCCTCAAGCTTCGGCTACGCTTCCAGCTTTTGGTGATGGTAGTGGAGGTGGATTGTCGATTGGTGGTGCTGCTTCGGCTTCGGCTACACTTCCGGCTGTATCTGCCACGCTTCCAGATGTTGGAGGTGGCTCAGGATCGGGCTCGGGATATAATGGTGGTGGAAATGGAGGAAGTGGATCTGGCGTATCTGCTTCGGTTCCAGGCGGTCCTGGTATTTCGGTCGGTGTGGGAACTTCAGATGGAGTCACTGCTACGCTACCTGGTGTTACCGTTTCTGTAACTCAACCTGGCGGACCAGCCCTTCCTACTTCTGTAGATGGTGGCTCAGGTGGTTCTGCTGGTTCTGTTTCTGCTGATTGTCCGGCTAAAGATATGTCGACGTATTCATTGGTGATTGCGACAACCATTCCTCAAACAACTACTATCGTCTCGCATTTCACCGTTGCAATTGTTCAAACTATTTCCACAAACATTGTGCAGGCTGTTTATCAAACTATTACCGTCCCTACTACAGTGTTGAAGACTATTCAAAGCACTGGAACTACTACAATTGTTGCCACTTCAATCAGTACTAGTGAGTTTTCCTCTCTCTTTTCCCCTTATTTCTTGTTCTAGTATGGAGATTGTGAACTAATATGCGAGGTTAGGTCTTCAAACCTCTCTCACTGCTATTTGTCAAGGTGGTGGTATACCTGCAGCCCCAACTTTTCCAGGTGGATCCAGTGCCAATGGTGCTGCGAGCTCAAGTGCACCAGGTGCTACTGTCAGTGTCGGACTACCAGGTGGTGGAAGTGGAGGCAGTGGGAGTGGAGGGAGTGGAGATGGAGGAAATGGTGGTGGATATTACTCAAGAATCTGAATTGATTGACGAGTGAAAAGTTCAAGTATATGAGATGGGATATCATGGGTTCAGATTGCTTCAATTTTGCCGTCGATGTTTATGTTGCACCAGTTCTGTTTTCATTTTGGGGTCCCGGAGGACACTTTGAAAGAATTATGAGGGGAAAACACATTTGTGATAGGAGATGAGAGAACTTCTTTTGGTAGATAGTATAAATTGATTGAAATTGATCACATTCAATGAATTACTAGTGACTAGACTATCTAGTTACTATAAATCCTGGTATCTCCATTTCTGTTTTGAATGTACGCCATTTTCTGTATGAAATCCACTCTCAACCTATTCTTCCCAAACGAAGATATTCTTGGAAATGGAAAAGGAAAAGGAAAAGAAAAAAGTAAATATCCCAATTACCGTTTGATGAAAGACTTCCTCGTGAAACATACGCCTCGTAATCAAATAAAAATCCCTTGGAAAATCTTGATAAGCATCTAAGGTAAATAACATCCACCAGCCATAACCAAATTCATTCTTGTGAACATGACTTTGTAAACCGGTGATCGCTTGGTTGGAAATGCTGCGATTTGATCCGGTGTAATCATCATTTCCTTTCCCTTTTTCTTGGAAGAACCAGTAGCCGTATTAACCTGAGCACCTGCAATAGCTCCCGTAACCCGAGTTGCATCTGCTTGACCGCCTGTCCCGATGATTTCTCCATCATTATTCTTATATGGATCAGTAGGCACTTCGATATCCCACAGACGAACAGTACCATCCGCACCACCTGAACATAAGACGGTGGATTCGACGCTAAATGATAGAGACCAAATTCCACCTTTTCCGTGGCCTCTGCAACGCTTGATTTGTGAGCCTTTGGCGAGATCCCAGAGGATGATACTTCCCCCTGCGTCGGCAGATGCTAGGATCTTCCCACTAGGAGCGCATTGGAGAGCACTGATTGTGTCGGTGTGACCTGTGAAAACACGAACGCATTCACCGGTTGTGAAAGACCACATACGAACGGTTTTATCAGCTTGATCGCTCGCTGAGAAAACATATGCTCCGTTTGGATGCCAGGCGATTTGATTGACGTTGGAATCGTGACCGATGAACATTCGGAGGTATGAGATGTGATCTTGGCCCCATATACGAACGGAGCGATCGTGGCCGCAACTTAGAAAGTAGTGACCGAATGGTCCCCATTTTACGTTCCAGACTGGACCTTCGTGGCCTTTGTATACCACTACGCAGGCCCATGCTTCGAGTGACCAGAGACGGATTGTTCTATCTGAGGAAGAGGAAAGGAGTAATTTGGGAGCAGTAGATGTATCAGTATCATCTGCGCCTCGAATTGAAGGGGAGAATGATACAGCATAAACAGGTGCGGAGTGACCAATTAGACGGCGAGAGTTGGATGGTGGTGGATCATTTGGACCTGGTTTGGTTTCACTTGACAACGGTTCGCCATGTAGATGCCAAACACGAATGTAAGATTCTTCGGTACCAACAGCAACCAAGTTATTGTCGTCGGAAAACTCGATACAGGTAATTCTGGTCAAACGTTAGTATTTACTGAAAAAGTTCGGGCATGGCAACTTACGTATCAAGAGTATTATGGAAAGTAAACATGCAAATCGAGACTGCAGGACCAACACCACCACTTCGACTCTCAATCTTAAATCTATCCCGATATTCCTTGATCTTTTGAACTTCCATGGTTACATCCTTCGCACGAGAAGGAGGATAAGGAATATCATTGCGGCTAGGTCCTTCACTGCCTTCCTCACGCTTGATACTTTGGTCAAACAATTCTACCAAGGATGGCCTACCGGGCTCAGGTGGATTCTTAGCATCTTCTTCATCAAGTTCCGCGCGAACATCTGCAGATAGATCCTCCTCCAATGACAATGGGCCTAGTAACAATCTGGCATTATTGTCTGCAATGTCTTTGTTTGTAACTCCAGTAAAAGCACCGGTAATTCCTTCTTGAAGATCAGACTCTTCTGACTCAACACCGTGTGCTTGATTTATTATAGCTTCGAAACTGAATTGATCAATGGGTCCTCGTTTGGTTTCTTGGATTTCGCAGAATGTCTGTAACAAATAAATGATAACAGATCCTCCTTGCTTGCTGTTTGATTCAAGGTGGGTCATGAGGTTGTAGTAAACATGGGTATTGAGAGGTATTCGGTACTTTGAGGATAGATAAAGCTTCGTGATAGTGTTGTCATTGATCTGTTGCGGCAAGCTGATTGTCTCAAAGGTAGTGAGCTCATCTGCGTGAACTTGTTGGAATTGGTCTTTGAACTCATTCAAAAAAGCTTTTCCGTCACTTGCATAGTTACTTGTGATGAGCTCAATGAATGAATAAACATAGACAGGCCAAAGGATTCTGCGTAACTCGAACTGTGATAATGGTGTTAAAGAAACCAGTGTTGTAAGCTGTAGGAGTTTTTGCTCACCTTGTAAATGTCTAAGTTAGACTCAATCCAATTACTCAATAATCGAAACCCTTTTGCGTATTTTGCTGTACCAAGATCCTCTGCACGTTCTTGAATAGGCTTTCCATCTCTATCAAGATTGGCGGATTCTGAACGTAGCATTTGCTCCGTTCGATTGTATCCTTTCTTGACGAGATACTCGATAACCTGTGGATCGTTGAACAATGGATTAGTAGAGGCTAGAAGAATATTCCTGCTCAAAGGAAATGCAGTAGGCGCATGACGCGGCGAACCAAAGAGAGGAGGATATGGGGAACCATAAATGAGTGAAGGTGGATGACAGGAAAAATGTAATGTATGTGAAGGTGCTGGTACTTGGGGCATGGCAGGAAGCGAAGGACTTGAAACACCAGCACTTCGAGCAGTGGCCCTTGGAGCACGAGGAGGCATTGAAATGAGGAAAATTGCAGGGCATAGAGCCGCAGTACTTGGAGGATGATCAGTTACTGCAAGCTTGGTGGTACCAAGATGTGGAGCACCAGATGGCACTGAACGTGATGTAGAAGGATGTGATGTAGTATGCATGATTTGACGTGAAGGTTCAGACATAATGACAGAAAACTATTGCAAGAAGTTTGTGATGATGTTTTGTAATAAGACTTTGAAGAACTTAGCAGTAAGAGAAACAAGCACCACAAGTAGCAGCAGAATTGTATCTATCAAATGGAAGCGAAATAGGTTGATTTGATGATAAACAGAATGGGAAGCACAGCATAGAAGGCCGCTAGGTCCGAAGAGGGATCGGGCCTTGAACCAAAATGCACCATTTTGGAGAAAAAGATCTTCAAGTATTGATCTCCTTCACTAGAGCTTCTTCTCAAACATTTACTCTTTTTAACATTGAAATCAGCCATAAACATCATCTTTCAAAAACTACAGCACTATGGTACTGCATATGGACATATAGTGCAAAAGATGATTGAGCAAGACATCCGCTATGGTTCTCTCAACTTCACCAAATACAATCAAGTAAACAAACGTCTTAAAGAGGTATCCAACCATACCACGTGACTGATTGGTTCCATATTTGGTTTCCATTAACAAACTGTGCTAAGGCTACTTGCGTCTGCACTGATAGGTTTTCAAGAGAACGTAGTTGTTTGTGGACAAAGATTTGGATAGAACCTGGTATGATTTTGATGATAATATGACACAGAGTGTTGGAGTAAAATAGAAAGGAGGACTTACAATCTGATTTAGATTTTGTTGGGACATTAGTGAGCCTGATTGTGGAGGTCCTTGGGAATTTTGTTGTGTGTTTATTCCAGCACTTGGAGGTCCGTTTGGTTGTCCTGAAGTAGACATCCTTCTTGATTATTGCTGTCTTTCCAGCTTGTTGAATTTATCCTCTGCTACTACTCAAGTTTCCTCTATCACGGTATTACCACCAATCACTGACCATTCCAAATATTCCAGAATCTTTCAGAAAAAGAATATGCACTCGAAACTTTCAACTTTATGTTTATGTATAGCTGATTACGTTTATGGAGAACTTGGATATTATGAAAGAATTAAGATGAGTTTATACTGTTCGAGTGTCCTTGTGATGAATCGGTTATGTTGATATATCAAGGAGGTTAAAGTTCATCATTTTATTATTGTTCATTGATAATTGGAGTGAAATTTTGGCACTAATGCAGCCGACCCGCAGAGCCGCACCACTAAGGCTGTATGTAACCCTAGACAAAGCAACTTGCAAGTTCTAGCAAGAGATTAATTATTGATATCACTGTACGCGCCTTCACACCTCGAATTTAAAGATACTCGCCTACAACTCAAATTCATCCTCGCAGCCAGTACATATCAAAGTCAAACAAAGATTCCAACAATCTCCAAATCTTTTATTCAATCTTTGATAATATCATCATGTCTTCACCCGAGGAACAAACCTCAACCTTTCGACCATTCACGAAAGCTGAGCGCATTCAACAACTCAATGAAATAGATAAGGTAATACCGACAGATCGCGATTCATTCTTAAGCATTATTTAATTGTTCGCAGAGTATATTACAACTTGTTCAGACTGCCGGGCAAACTCTCAAAATTCTTACTGCATCAAAAGAACCAGGAGAAGCACAATCATCACAAGAAAAACGTGAAGCTTTCGAGAATGCCTCAAATGCTTATTTAAAAACTCTTCAATCCGTCGATGTGCGATTACGAAGACAAATACTGGGGTTGGAAGAAGCAGATATTATACCAGCAGAGAAGGTGAATTCGAAAAATAAGGGCAAACCAGCAGCTGAACCTATGGAAAGACGACCAGCAGTTCCGGGAAATATGGCGGGAAACAAAGCAGATGATACAATTATAGAAGGAGGGTTGGGAAATCTTGATATTGGTTTCTTGAACAGTCGAAGTGGAAGAGTTGGTAGAGATATGGAGGCTGAATTATGGGCAAAGAGTAGAAGGTTTCTAGAAGATTTGGATAATGGCAATTATAATTCGCAGCCATTGTCTCAAAGGAAGGATGAAATCAAGCAATAGGGCGGATAGATGTGGAGTTAGCAGTATACTCTTTGAATTTGGATAGGCTACAGGGACCGTTTGATACATATTCTTATGGAATCGGTCTCTTGGTCACTTATATTCACCTCGAAGCTATCCATATTTTACTTACTTCAAGTACTTGTGCTCCTGCCTGAGATGGTGATAAAATAAGCTGTTCAAAGAGAAGTGAGCTAACCGATAATTACCCGGCAACCCCCAAATTACACTTCGCCTTGATCGCAAGATAGTATTAAAACTCTCGTGCAGCATATTATAGCAACATAAAAATCCATTGAAAAAAGTTGTGAATATTTTACTTCTTTTGAATCTGTTGCTGTGCGAATAGCTTTGATCCCTGTAACTCTACCACGGTACATTCCGAAGGTTGTCTGTGCCGCCCGCCGAGCTTTCCATCTCGAAATCCTACAGTCATTAACTCAACTTCTTCAGGTGCCCTATATACTTCGTTATGGATTTAGAAGACGGGGGAGGCTCGCCTTGGGGAGGTACGTTTTTCTAAGTTGAAATGCGCACACTGCCAGAAACCGGGTGTTGACAACTATATCAGATGTTCCTTCTCAGCTCAATCGACACCGAGCATACCAAAACCGGCGGAGTCTGCTACAGAAGGAGGTAGTTATCATCATACTGAGAGTGCCGAATCTAATGTTTCTTGTTAAAGAGTCCTCGGAAACCGCATCACAAACCCTGGCCCCACCAGCTACTCAAGGCAAAACACCTGGAGGACGCACAATACGTACCCCTCGACGCGCTGGAGCACAACCCGTTCGACTTCAAGCTTTAGATGATTCTTTAGGTCCATTAGGACCATTGGGCGATAATGCGCCAACACCAAAAGCCGACGAGCCTCCTGCGCCGCCCCAAAAAGAACAAACTGTCACACATAATCTGCGGCAACCAACAGCTTCAGCGCAAAGCCCTACTGTTAGTCGGAGTTTGTTGGATTCAGTGGATTTGAATGAGGATGTTGAATCTAGTACTGGACCTCGTATACCACCTCCTGTTCAACCATCCCAGGGAGGCACCGTTCGAAGAGAGACAACGCCTAGTGTGAGCATCGAACAAGCTGCCAAGCCTACTTTCCATATCACAGTCGGTGATCCACACAAAGTTGGGGATTTGACTAGCTCTCACATCGTATATTCAGTGGAAACAAAGGTAGGATATGTCACCTCATCAAAAGTGTCGGTTAACTGATCATAAATTAGACTTCTTCCAAAGCATATCGTCAACCAGAATTTACTGTCACTCGAAGATATAGGGACTTTTTATGGCTCTACAACACTCTACACGCAAACAATCCTGGTGTTGTTGTACCTCCACCTCCTGAGAAGCAAGCTGTAGGAAGATTTGATACCAATTTTGTCGAATCTAGACGTGCAGCATTGGAAAGAATGCTTAATAAAACAGCTGCTCATCCAACCCTTCAACATGATGGAGATTTGAAGTTGTTTTTGGAGAGCGAGGCTTTCAATGTTGATGTTAAACATAAAGAGCGAAAAGAACCCGGACTTGGTGAAAGTAAAGGTATGTTTAGTGGACTGGGTATTTCTGTCGGTGGAGGGGGGAAGTTTGTTGAACACGATGATGTGAGTACATGAATATCCTAGAGATTCGCATTAGTTGACATTATTAGTGGTTCCATGAACGACGAATCTATCTGGATGCTTTAGAGAATCAACTTAAAGCTTTGTTAAAAGCCATGGATGTTGTGATTAGTCAACGTAAAGGTCTTGCTGAAGCTGCGGGCGACTTTTCTGGTTCCCTTAGGGCACTCTCAGCAGTTGAGCTCTCCGCGTCATTATCCGGCCCTCTCGAAAGTCTTGCAGATTTGCAAGTTAGAATCAGGGAACTTTACGATAGACAGGCACAACAAGACGTATTGACCTTGGGTATCACCATTGATGAGTATATTCGTTTGATCGGAAGTATCAAGCAAGCATTTGGTTCACGTCAAAAAGCATGGCACTCATGGCATGGCGCGGAAGGTGATTTACAAAAGCGTAAGACTACTCAGGAGAAACTATTGCGCCAAGGGAAATCACAACAAGATCGTTTGAATCAAATGCAAGGAGAAGTGGCCGATTCTGAACGTAAAGTTCATCAAGCGAGATTGTTATTTGAGGATATGGGGCGTCTTATGAAAGCGGAACTTGACAGATTTGAACGTGAAAAGGTTGAGGATTTCAAGAGTGCTGTTGAAACATTCTTGGAGAGTGCTGTGGAAGCTCAAAAGGAGGTGAGTTATTGCAACTTCGAGGTCAGAGATATTGTACTAATATTCCTTAGCTTATTGAGCTCTGGGAAACTTTCCTCATGCAAGTTGATGCTGAAGAGGACGAACAAGTATTTTACAAACCTCCTGTAGAGCCGGCAGCACGCCCTTCTTCGGAAACCGGACTTTCAGGTGAAGCTGCTACCGAATCACAAGCTGTGGCCGTGGCAACCGCAGAAGAAGAAGATTAATGAATGACACAATGATATCACGTTTTTGAAAAATAAATTAGGAGAGCGAATGAAAAATGGAGAGATGAATCAATCACCAGATCATGAGGTGATGGTGATATGCTGGTTGTAGTATCTTTGTACATAGAATAATATTTCAATTATGAATGCCCCCCCAACCCTGGTTCGCATGCATTTTTTGTACCTCATTGGTATGCATGTATACATTGCGAGCTGAGACCATGTTTCTTCGTTCATCGTACAATCCGACTCGGTGTATATCTAATAACCTCTGCTATTGAAAGCCTTAGAGGAGAATATCTTTCCAACAGCTTCATACCAACCAAGCAAAGCTACTTCATCCTAATAATTATCACACTACCCCTCACTTACTTCCGTCACTCACGCCCCTCACTCACACCCTTTCCATTCTACTTTTTCTCCTTCCCACTCTTCGTCCTAACAGTCCCCTTCATGCTCGCACTATCTTTTTGAGTTCCCCCACTAATCAAATCCATCAAACTATCCATACCACCCATCTCCTCTCCCTTCCCACTCTCTCCCGCTGACTTCTTCTCTCCCTCTCCTCCCCTTATCATATCCCATCCCATCCCCGTCCAAACCTCTCTCTAAATGCGCTCAATCGTCCTGCCTCATCATTCTCAACATTCCGTAATGAATCTAATGATGGTTGCCATAAAGGATGATTGCGTGTATCCTTTGTACTGCGGTAAATTGGTGCAGGGGAGGTGGACCGCGTGAGGTAGGTTGAGCCGTCGGATAGGGTAACAAGTTGCGTGAAGGTGTAGGGACGGATGGGTCGCTTTAAGAGGGTTGCATGTCGGATTTGGTGGGTGATGGTGGAGGTTATTGGGAGGTTTGTGTTGGGGAGGGAGGTGGTGCGGCGGAGGGTGAGGCTTGGGAGTGACATTTTTTGAGTGCTTTTTTTTTACAAAAAAGCTCGTGATATGGAAGGGTGGTATTCGGCAGAAGAAAGCCTCCGGTATAAGGTGTGGGAAGATTAAATTGGCTTCGCAGGCAAGTAATCGATGTCCTCGTCGCAATTGACGAGGCTTGAATCTAGATTTGTTTTCTGAGAACTTTTCTACGGTAGCCACAGCGGATCAACAACGAATCCAATATAATTTCAGCCTTGTGAAACCTTGCGGGGATACACGACGTCTTGCAAAGTCTAAATATTTTTTGACTCAATTGACTCCGGAATCAAGTTAGAATTCTGTGTCGATTAGTTTGTAGGAATTTTTATACTGTATTAAACTGTTAAAGATGATTTCTGCTCGAAATCCTCGGAGTTTGCTTTACACAAGCCAATCTACTCTTGCAGGAAGCTTTCACGAATTGTTCTGGAGATGGAGTTCATTAGAAAAGACCTCTAAGAAATGTATAGTATTCTTTTCATTTACATTCAATTTCTTGTATATCTATTGTACTGACAATTGTTTTCACAATCCTCAAGACCATACTCATTCTTTTCGACGAAACGGATTTTCAAAATGCATTCATCAGCACTCAAGAAAAAGTAGCAGCTTGTCTGATCCTTCTCCTTCACTACCTACCGGCGCCATTGAAGCAACAAACAACATCAAAGATTTCCCACTAGATAGTTTGCCTAAACCACCCGAACTGGAGAACCTCCCACTTGAGCTCCGCCAAGTAATGCGCCATGTCGTGCATTCCGTTGTAGTCCTCACTACTCCAGACCAAACTACTGCCTCCGGAAAATCAACACAGGCAGCAGCTATGACATTATCCTCTTTTACAACCCTTACACTCTCACCAGAACCCATTGTTACATTCAACATCAAGCGTCCTTCCCGAACACTTGATGCGCTAAAAGCAATGGTACATCCAGATACACTTCCAGCAAAAAATCCAAACGAGAGTTATTTTCACATCCACATTTTAGAAAGCAGCACTTATGCCGCTAGACTCGCCGACCATTTCTCCCGCGGTGGTCCTGCTTCCTCTAAGGATCTCGCTTTGATATATCCTAAATATAGAACCGCCGACCATACCGCAAGAGGAATTAAAAGAACACTCGAATGTGAGATTTTGCGAGATGGGAATGGTGGGTTTATTGATGTGGGTGATCATACCTTGGTATTCGGGAAGGTGATGAACATTGGTCGGGACCAAACGAATCCTCAAAGGAAGAAACATCCGTGGGGAGGTTTGTGTTATATGCACGGGGATTATCGTTTAGCAACTCAAATGACGAGTCCTAACTGGAGAAAAGATGCAATTGTGCAAGAAGATGGTGTTGGAGATAAGAAGGAATTGGGTGTAGAGAAAGATGGAGAGCTTGTCGAGGATTCGATATTGATGAGTGAAGAAAAGAATCCGGAATCATGAGCAGTGGTTCATGGTATGTATAAAGAATCTTCACGTCTCCATTCTTTGCAGTCTTTTTTTGCGACATATTGTATTGTATTGTGTTGTATCTTTCTCCAGCCCCAATAACTCTCAAAATGCCACAGTCAAGTACCGAAGTAGGCCTAGGCCCAAAAGTTATCCATCCTTCCATCCAATCATTCCTTCCTAAAGCTCGTTGTCTCTGATTTTGTGGTATTTAATACTAGCTGCTCGTTAGATGTCTTTCCGCCCCAGGTCTACGAGCATCTAAACATACCAAAAGCAGCCTACTACAACTTTCGCTCTCTATTAATCGCCATTTACGACGTTCCAGTTGCTGATGAGCCAATGTATTTCTATACTCTATTTACTAGTAAACGAACATGCAAAAAACAGCTGGCCTGCACTGAGATCATGCATCTCCTCCATCTCTGAAAATGTCTTAAGGTGGAGGCAGAGGGTGGTCCCGTCCCGTAGACCGGCTCCGTGGTCCTCGGGGTAACACTTGCACGTGTCTGTGCAGGTTAACTAGAAGTCTGTGTAAAATACATAGTGCGGACTTGGGTCTAGGTTCGCTCTTGTCTAGATGGCTGTATTGATATTGGCATTATCTCTGTAGAGAGAGATGTGTATTAGTTTATTGTTTATTGTTATTTGCATGGAGTGTATAGACGAGTGTGGTGAGTTTATTATTGTATATGTATAGGTATTTATCCTGCTCATCTTTTGACAACAAAATCAAGTTTGTGTCGGCTACGAATACAATTTTTGGTGTTACTTTGCTGGGTTTTTGCTTAAAAAGTGTAATAAGAAGGGTTTGTAATGAGAATTGTTACGTAGTGAAAGGAAAGGTTTATTGTAAGTCTTATATCTTTTATGTCAATTGATGGCTGCTAGCTAGTGTTCGAAGTTGGAAGTTGATGCAAGAGAATTTTTGTTAATTATTGTGTTGTGGTTAACTATTGGGTTTCTTGAGACCAGAAAGAGCATCAGATTGAATTGATTGATTCTCTAGCTAAGCAGTTAAGCTGCGAGTATATATTCAAAAAATGAAGGAATAGGGTTAGGTATTCGGCCTTCGGAATTAAAGTGCTTTGAAATCAAAATATTGAAAGCAAACAAACAGTATACCGAAAAGGAAAGAATGAATTAAAAGTTGAGTTTTGTTTGCTCCTTATATGCATCATGCAATATATATGCATATGCTGCCAAGATCCCAGGAGGTCAACATTAACCGAGGGTCCTAAGGGGGGTTCGAGAGTTCGAATGGATAAGTGCGCGAGCTATTGAGGGGAATTTCTTATGGTTGTTATTTGATGTGTAGTTTATTGTTTATATTGGATGTGAAGTTTGGGAATATTATCTTATTTTGTGTTTTTATATCTGGATTTGGATGATAAAGTTAGAATGTTGATTTTGGGAAGTGGGTTAGTGTCACGATTCACCATTAGGATTGATGGTGTTACGATGGTAGCAACTGGATTAATTAGGAGAGCTTAGGCCGTGTGCAAACACGAT